AAGGTACTAGTAGGAGAATAGTGATGGACTAGTAGGAGAGTAAGAAGGACTGGTAGGTGAATAGGAAGGACTAGTAGGAGAGTAAGAAGGACTGGTAGGGGAATAGGAAGGACTAGTAGGAGAGTAAGAAGGACTGGTAGGGGAATAGGAAGGACTAGTAGGAGAGTAAGAGGGACTGGTGGGTGAATAGGAAGGACTGGTAGGAGAGTAAGAAGGACTAGTAGGCGAGTAGGAAGGACTGGTGGGTGAATAAGAAGGACTAGTAGGAGAATATGATGGACTAGTAGGAGAGTAAGAAGGACTGGTAGGAGAGTAAGAGGGACTAGTAGGCGAATATGACGGGCTAGAAGGCATGTAAGTAGGAGATGTAGAATACCCTGGGGACGATGGACTGTAACTGGGAGACGTTAAGCCGTATCCAGGACTCATAGCACTTGAAAATGGACTGGTATAGCCAGGAGACTTAACAGAATGGAAAGGACTAGCACCAAGCATATTTCCATATTCACCTAAGCCATCTCGACCTTCGGGTCCGCTTTGAATTAATGGTGAGAACGCAGCTGCATCAGAGGAGCTAAGATAACCAGAATCAACCATCGGTGAACGCTCATAAGGCGTAGCAGCACCCTCAGGAATTTGTGATTTTCCGTATTCACCTACGGCTATCGAAGCGGCGGGAGCATTCAGACTGTAATTCATCAACATACCCTGATCGAGATAAATATCAAATGCACCAGTACCCATCGGTGCCATCTGGCCGAGCATAATATTCTCTGATATTCCTTTACAGTCATCCTTTTCTCCGCTTGCGGCTGCATCCATTAGAATTTCAACAGTTTCCTCGAAAGAGCATCTCATTAAAGCACCCGTTTCAGCACGATTAATACCGTGACGTGTAATTGCCATTAGATGTCCGCGAGAAGTCATCACATCACAAAGAAGAGCTAAATGACGATAATTTACATAAGATCCATCAAATTCAATAACGTTTCTGAGTTCCTTAAGCAAGGCAGACCTAGTAGCCTCAATTCCAAGAATTTGCAAAATTTCAACAAATGAATTTGAATATATTCTAGAGGAATCAACTCCTTCAACAGCCATTGCTTCAGTCAAATTGATTCCATCAGTTTCCAAAACCCATTCATCACCTCTTTCAAATATACCAGTATCCTTCTGGCGAATAACTTTGTGCTCCATCATGTAGACACGTGTAATGTTAGGAACACCTCTCAAACTAATGCTTTCTAACATGTGTCCTTCAATTGTCTTCAAAAAGACGTCCTCTTCAATAAGATTGTCATCCTCCTCAGTTTTTCTATCGTCATCACGAATAATACGACAGCGAATTACCAACTTGTCGGCATTGTCTTCAGACCATATCGTGAAAAGATCACGTTCAAAACTTTCTGCGATCTTTCCTGCCACGTCACTCATACTTAACTTTTTGTCAAGCATCTTAGCACGATCAAGCTCCAATCTCAATAACCATGGGGACTGTTTCCATAAATTTTCTTCAACTTCTTCATCAGGGATAGCAAAAAAGGCTTCAACAAAATCTTTATCCTCTTCAATTACAGTATTTTGAGGATCAGGATCATAATGAATTTCAGTAGCTGACGTAACTGTACTCAGAGTGGTGTGTTCGATCTGAGTCTGAATGTTCTTAGCAAAATCCATGTTAGCTGCGACGTCCGGTAATAAATAGATAGTCAAAGACGGTGTTTTAATATTCTTCGCAACATTAAGAATCTCTTTGAGACGAGGAACACCCAACGTGACATTCTTCGATGAAACACCAGCGTAGTGGAAAGTGTTCAGGGTCATTTGTGTTGCAGGCTCACCAATAGATTGTGCAGCTAAAGTACCCACCATTTCTCCCGGACTTACTACTGCTTGCTGGAATCGGCTTTCAACCTCACCCATTACCCATTCAAACGCAACTTTATTCAAATGATATTCAGTGATAACACGCTTAACAGCAAACTTCGAGCGCAAGTGAATTTGGAAAAGCAGTGTGGCGTTATTCTGCACATCTTGGGTGATCCGGTCATCACCACGAAATATTTTTAGTTTATTAATAAGCTCATTTAGGCCTTGAATTATGTCTCCAGGCAAAAGATCAGACGGTTTGCGAGATTCTAAATGAAAAATTTGACAAGCATTTTGAATGATTCGTTGCACATTGACCGGCATCGGCCATCTTGCATCACCTTTAGGGAAAATAAAGTTACATAGAAGATCTCTATCCTTCGAGAGTTGTGTAAACTCTGCATCAAGCAAGTCTTGCACAACTGGATCATTATCAATAGAGTTTTCCATAAACTGAGATATGCTACGATCTTCCATCAAGTCAATCTTATATTTCCTTTCAAATTGGTCGTTTGATAATCGCAAAGAATCGAAAACTTGGTATTCAACCAGCGTCGCATCGAGACCATCTTCACCGTAGGCAAACTGAATGATGTCTCCCATTGCATTACGTACGGTACCATCATACCGAACCATCACATCCTCCATTGCTTTTACAAGACGACGTTGAATGTAGCCAGTTTCCGCGGTCTTCACGGCGGTATCAATGAGACCTTCTCTTCCGGCCATTGCATGAAAGAAAAATTCCTGTGGAGTTAAGCCACGTAAATATGAATTTTCAATGAAACCACGAGATTCAGGTGAATCATCATCTTTAGGAAAGTGTGGAAGGGTCCTATACTTGAAGCCAAAAGGAATTCGTTTTCCTTCAACAATCTGCTGTCCTACACAAGCTGACATTTGTGAAATATTAATAAAAGAGCCCTTTGAACCTGCCGCCACCATTTGCTTGACATTATTAGCATTTTTTAAACTGTGCTCTGCGGATCTACCAGCGTTATCTCTGGCTTGGTTAAGGATTCGTGACACTTGAGCTTCAAAAGACTCACGTAATGTCATACCAGGTTCAGGTTTAAGTCTATTGTGTTGGGCATCCTGAATTGATTCTGCAACTTGCGAACGAGCTTCTTTGACGGTCCTAGTCACCTCACGCATAGTGTCGGCATCTGCTATCGTATCACCTATACCGATACTAAATCCGTTGTGTAATAACCAGTAGTTTACAACTTGTTGAATACCATTAAAGAACCCTTTGCATGTTTCAGGTCCCTTCTCTTTCCAAATTGTGTGTACCAAACCACCTTGAGAAGCTCCCACAGTTTTCTTATCAACAACACCATAGATAATTTCTCCGTTTTCAATTAGCATACCCAAATCCGATGGGTTTAACAAGCCTTGTTTGTCATCTTCCCTCATTAAATTGATACCTTTTGGGATTACCAAACTCAAAATTTGTTTGCCGGTCCACAGAGGTCTAGGTTTTATAATCACCGGTGGTGGCACGACTCCGTCCCATCCTGGTACCCAAAGCATAATATTCATAACAGCCTCACGAGTCAAAAAATTGTCACGTAATGAAAACTTTCGGACACCGGCTAAGGTATCCTGTACGATACCCATTACCGGTTTATTTGACTGAGGTGAAACAATTTGTTTGGGAACCATAGCTATCTCCTGAATCTCAGCTCGTGTTTCTTCGGATTGGGGAACATGCATATTCATCTCATCACCATCAAAATCGGCATTATATGGTGATGTAACAGACAAGTTTAGTCTAAACGTTGAATAGGGCATAACTCGTATCCTATGTCCCATCATACTCATTTTATGTAGTGATGGTTGTCTGTTAAATATAACGATGTCTCCATCTCGAATATGTCTCTCAACACGCCAGCCATATCTTAAAGGTATATCGCCAGCTCTCTTGTGATATCTTAAATCAATTCGTTCACCCGTATCGCGGATAATATATTTGGCTCCAGGGTGTTCATCTGGACCGTTTCTGACAAGTTCTTGAAGGTAATAAATATTATAAGGAGTAACCGTTTCAGGATAAGTTAATGTCTTTGCAATACTGCGCGGAACACCTAATTCATCTAATGATAAATTTGGATCACCAGTAATGACAGTACGGGCTGAAAAATCAACCCTTTTACCCATCAAATTACCACGCAAACGTCCTTCTTTACCCTTTAGTCTAGCGCGAATACTTTTTAAAGGTCTACCCGATTTTTGCAGAGCTTGCGGTTGGCCTGCAATCTCATTATCCATATACGTGGCAACGTGGAATTGCAATAACTGTTCGTATTCTGAAACAATATGTGCTGGTGCTCCTTCTTGCTCACATCGCCGAACATTGGCATTAGCTTTTATAATATCGGATAGTTTATGCGTTAAATCGTCTTCACCACGACTAGTTCCATCCACTGAAATACTCGGGCGAACACTGGGCGGGGGGACTGGTAAAACAGTAATAATCATCCAATCTGGCCGTGCATACTGTTCATTAAGCCCTAATCGTGCTAAGTCATCTGAAGATATATGCGTAAATATGGTATGTACTTCGAGGGGAGTAAGTAAACGTTTTTCAGGAAGGTCGGATTCGTCTTTTCCTTTTTTCCATGAACCCCACAACTTTAATCCATCTTTGCGAATTGTAGGTTGGGCGCTTCCACAGCCGCCATGACCCAAATTTGCTGTAGGATTACTAGGATCGAAATTATCCGAGCCACCGGACAAGCCAGTGTCACAAACCATTTTTGTTTTACAGACATTCCATACCGCATTAAGTCGATTTTTAGGATCACGGTATCGTTGTGTATCTTGATATTTCGGATTTGACTGAATTTATGTTAATAATTATGTCAAATAAAGGTGTCTTTATGTACTTACAGGGTCAATTTTCAGCTTTCCGCAATTCCAACAAACACACTCTAAAATCTTTTTGATTTTGCTCAAAAATCCGATATGGAATACAGGTTTAGCAAGTTCAATATGACCTAAACAAAGTTAGCATTCAATCAATATACAGCTACCATTAGGAATCTTACCAAAGTGTCCGGGACATTCAGCCATCAATTCGCCGCATGTTTGACATTTATATTGACGATCTTTTCCATGTTAACATATATTCGCAAAAGAAATTAGGATCTCCCATACCTATGGTGCCCAAACGAGGATCCAAAAGTCCACCAACTCGAGGACGTTGACCAGTTTCGTCCATGGTTTCGGGAAACTAAAATAATTAATATGAAAGCTCGAAATAATTAAACTTACTTCAATCTTCGCGACACTCATGGACCGAATCTCCTCCGGAGACAAGATTCCAAATTGGACCTCTTCGACCCGGCTATAAATGTTAATTTATCACCCTAAAGCTTTCAAATTAATCTCATACCGAAGGGGGACAGATGAAGGTGAAAACTGCATGTTAATAAACAATAAAAAATGCTACCTTACCTGAATCCCGCTCATTCTACCTGAGTTGCAAAGATTAGGTGGTTGTACGTCTTCAGAAAAATTTAATATTGATAATAGAAACCCTTACAAACCCCGAATAACGAACTCCGTAAATCTCGGTAATGTAGTTATCGCCACCTATTGCATTTCTGAAACTTCTTCTACCAAAAACAAAACTTACAATGATATTACTTTAACGTATGGATTATAAATACGGAGATGAGCGCAACCAGATCCTTCATAAAAACACAAGAATATCACTAATCAATAACAAACCATAAAGCATACGTACTTTACAGAAATTAAAAGCTAAAGTAAGTCTTAGTAATTAAGGGCCGCAAAGTTGGTTTGTGGACAATTGATATATACAAAATGATAAAAACCTATGAAAAGATTTCCTGTACGCTAAAAACGTAACATTAGCAAATAAAGTTCTAGTTGTAAGAAATTAAAATAGCCGAGTGTTATACAAAAATTCCCCATCGAGGAACTTTTAAAACCGATTAAATAGAAGCTGTAGCGGCAGTTGGAGCACTGTTAGGATTTACAGAGCTTTTACGGCGTTTCTTCTTATCTCGCTTCCCAGCAGAAGGAGAAGGATTAGGTTCAGCCTTCTCAGCACTTGTAGATGCGTCATCTGGTTGGGTTTGAGATTCGGCAGCAGCGTTGTTGCTTGAACGCTTCTTCTTATTTTGTTTTCTAGAAGCAGTGATTGGAGATGACATTGATGCCTGTGCTAAAGGTCTGGTTTCAGAAAATTCAATATAATTGTTATTAGCAGGAGTGGTAGGCATGGAGACAGCAATTGAGTTTGCTTCTTGTGATTCACCATCGGCAGCTGCTGCAGGAGCGGGAGAAGAAACAGATTCTCTAGAAGCTTGGAAAGCAGACATTTCAGCTTCATAAGTTTCACGAAGTTTTGAGGCTTCTTCTTCAAAAGGCTTGCGATCAGTTTCGCTTAAAGACGTCCACTTTTCGTGCATTGCTTTGTTAACTTCCTTCACATCATTTCCTTTTTCACCCAAAGAATCTTTAATTTCAGAACGCTGGCTCTTTTGAAACAAGTTATAAGCTGTAGGGGGACGCTTTGGTTGAGCTGGGTCTCTGGTTTTACGCTTGTTGGGAGTAGGGGAAACACTAGCCACAGGTTCGTTTACAGAAGAACCAGCTTGCACAGCGGAAATAGAAGGGACTGGTGCTTCTACAGTAGTAGTATCTTTGGCAGCTGCTGTGGATGATTCTTTGTTAACATTTTGCTTGGAGTTTTCGTTCTTGCTAGCCTTTCCTTGGGGTTTACTAACATCCCCCTTTTCAGCAATGAGAACTGGGAGGTATTCCTTGATATCTTGGCATGCTCCCAAAGCCAGTTTAAAAGCATCCTCAAGTTTAGAAATCGAGCTTGAGAGCTGATAGGTTTGTTAACATCGTAATTTTTGAATAAAGAAATTATTTTTTTTGCACAAGTTGCTACTTGACTCATCTATCTTTACTTATACTTATGAAAACATACCTTTTGAAGATTTCCGTGTTCTTCTGCCATTTTCAGGTTTTCTATGAAAAAAGGTATAAGAATGAAAAAATTACTATTTTCTTAGCAATTCTTTAGCGACCAAAAGTCCGTAAAGCAAGGAAAGGGGTGTACGAATTTTTTGGTGGTGGTAACCGGTTGTGGCTGTATTCCTTTATTATAAGGTGTGTAAAAAAGCAAGTTGGCATAGTAATGTTAGGGACGCGTGGCAGACCAACTAATGGTGAAGCCTATAACTCGTTGATATAATAAGTAATGTGAAAATTCGTTACAAGGTTTCAGTACAATATAATCGAATTTCACTAATAGAACAAATGTATAAACAGGCTGAAATGGTGTAATAAAGTATTTCTCCAGATATCTTTAACCTAATTACCTATAGTTTTTTAAAGGAATAGTAATCCAATCTGAACTTTAGTTCTGATTATTAAATTATAATCAGAGAACCATTTAGTTTTTATTGGTTTTTCCAGTGCTATCAACCAAAGAATCCTATTAGACGTATATCGCCTCGATGAGTTTGCACCTGAATTTTAAAAGTATATAATAACTACAAAACTGACAAACTCTTTATGAAGATAATCAGAAATGAAATTTCCGACAGCGAACAGTACTTCACTAATAGCAGCTTATAGCGTAGTGCAACTTTAAAATTTTTAAAATTGTATTACGAAATCAACCACGAACTGAAATTTGTTCCACAGACGCCGTCTGTAAAGAGGGAGCAGTCGATGTCTTAAATTTGTTGAATAAGAAAACTGTTAATTGTTATGTCATTTAACCAAAAAACAGTTCCTGATAATGATTCTGCTGTAAGTCCTCCAGATAATAATATCTCAATCGAATCGGAAAATTTTTTGAGTGCCCTTAATGAGATTTCCAATTCTCGATCTGTTCCCGATGTTTCTATGCTATGGAAGCTATTATTTGAGCTTCAAAAGATATCAAAGTTTAATGATAAATCTGAACAATTTTTTTCTACATTTGAGGAGCAATTGCAAAGTTCTAAGTCACCACAACAGCCATCTACTGCTTCCCCAAGTTCAGTTCATCGATCGTCCGTTTCTTCTGAAATAGATCAAGAGAAAGAGAAAGAAAAAGAGGAAAAACGAACGTTCTCCTCGGCGTTTAATACTCAGGATAGTCCATCAATATTGAAAAAGCGTAAGGGATTACCCACAGACGATAAAGTTGATAAACCTGTAATTGAGGAGAAACCCGATGAACAGCGATTAGAAATCTCCCAAGAAAATATAGACCTGCCTGTTAAAAGCAAAGATGATCAAGTCGGAGCTTGTTATAAATCTGCAAATGAACTTGCCACTGGTTCTCTTATATCTTTCATCGTCGACGATCATATGACTTATGAAGAAAAGAAGGAACTGTTATGTATTTCTTCATTCCCAAAAAAAGATGTACGATGCTTAGTTGCCGGTACCCCTGTTACAGAAGACTTTTCCAATAGTAAACCGAACAACCAAATCTCAATATCTACTTTCTACTCTTTTTTAGATCCTTATTTTCGAAGTTTTGATGATGAGGACGTGAATTTTTTACGAGAAACTTCGGATGTTTCAAAAAGTTATCAGAACCCGCCTTTGGGAGAACGATATCCTGAAGTTCCCCAAGAAGATGATATTGGTAAACTTTGCGCTGCTTCAATTTACCAGAATCTCAAAACGGTACCTCATGGCTCTTTAGAGTTGCTTCAGGAAGTTGATACAGTAGGCGAGGATATTAGCTGCGGGCCTTTAACAGAAAGGCTACTTGCATCGTTGCTTCCTGATGATGATGTATCTAGTAAAAATAAAGTCAACTCAATCGTAAATGGAACTGATAATGCTAAGGATTCCCACGTGAAAAAGGAGAGTCTAGAGGAGACTGATAATGAGAAAGAGGAGCAACATGGCATGAATGATGAATTATCAATTCTATGCGAATCTGACTTTTCTTTTTATGAAGAAAGGCTTCGAAATCGTCTTCGGTCTTTGGGTGTTATATATGATGATGATATTGACTGGACAAAAAGGCAAGATGACCAAATATCTGAAACTTTAAGATCACTACAAGATCGCCTGAAAAAAACTGAAGATGCAAATCAGCAACGGAAACAAAAGATTTTAGAACTTTTGCCTGAGGAAATGGCGTTTCAAGAATTTTCAAGTGTATTAGACGACCTCGATAAGCAGATTGAAAACGCATATATGAAACGAAACAGAACTCTGAAAGTAAAGAAGAAAAGGATCGTTAATGAAAAAATAAATGCATCTGCAACAAGTTCATATGCTACTATAAAATCACTAATGGATAAAAGATCACTATGGTTAGAGAAATTGCAGCCCTTATTTTATAGGCGACTACAAAGTGATTGTCTTCGACCGCCGGATTCTGTTTTCATAAGTCAAGATGAAAAAATAATGAATACAAGTCCGTTATACGGCACGAATTCATTAGAGAATGTAGACTACAACGCCACCCCTGGTGTTTGAATGAATAATATAATGTTTACGAGTATCAACACTGCCTAGTTCTCAATTTGCAAAGATAATATTTAACCTATATAAACTTCTAATTGACAAAAAACTCATCTATTATAAACCCTTTAAAATGCAATATGAGGCAATTCATAGACACAAATTTCATATACAGTACGCTAGACAACTTCAAAAATCAAACAAGCATCACGAACAAGAAATATATCATAGTTTAAGGACTAACGAAAAATGCTTAAATCCACTCAAACTCTCCATTAGCTTTAAAAAATAAGTAGTCTTTTCCATTCACGCCGACAATACCGTCGCGAAAAACGCATTTCCATTTGTTTTTGTGATGATTCACCTTATCATATAAACAAAGTACTATTGCTTGCCCTATGTCAGATCCTTCTTCTGCTTCTGGAGCTTCCTCTGAATCAGGATCATCAAGGTCAGAATTAATGGCTTCATCGGAAGGAGTGCCAGGGCTTGGTTTTTTATCATCTTCATTATCATCAAAAGTACCATCTATCTGTAATACCCGATTATTTGCAAGCATCTCCCTAATCCTTTCATCTGCGAAATGAGCCAACCCATACTTGTCCTTTTTGGATACTGTTGACTCCACATCGTCCTCTAATATGGTACCGTCCGACTGTGGTATATCTTTATTTTCACGGCTTTCTGAAGCTTGCTGCAACTGTGACGCCTCAGTCGGTTCGTTTTTTACCGCGTTTTGGTTAGGCAATAAAAGCCCGCCAAAGGCGTTATTATTAGATGAATTTGAATCTAAAGGAATCCCTCTATCAGAAGGAGGCGAAACAACACTCGCGGACAAATTAGGAGAGCTTTCGGGATTTGGATTGGATGGTAATTGTAAAGAGGTACTTTTGTTAAAAGAGGTAAATGGAGCACTCATATTATTCGGAAGATCAGAAAGCGATGACCCTTCAGCGGAAGTATCTGGTTGATTTGTTTGATTTAGACTTGACGAAGTAGGAGAAGGGTAAAAACCAGAACCACCGTGTTGCTGAGCTAAAGAATCCATTTGCTGAACCGCCCGTATAGCTGCTATATTATTTAAAATAGGTGAGTTTGTTGCGCCGGCAGCAGCAGCAGCAACGTCCAAAGAATCAGTCCGTAATCCGCTGACAGGGTCAAATAGTTGACCAATAGGAAATGCTCCAACGGGGGCTTGAGCCCATGGAAAAGTAGCGACATTCGTGGCTACTAGTTTTCCTTGCCATAACTAACAAGTTAAAATCAATAATTTTCTCAAATATTTCTTACATTTTGCAATTCCTGAAGCGTGGCTTCATCGACACCATTTTCCTCAAAATCTGTTCTTGAATTTGCAATTACATCAAGAATGACATGCTGATAAACTTCACCCTAAAATTTTGTCAATAAACTAGTCAGAGTTATTCATATTAGCTTACCACTATAGAATTAGACATGGTGGTGAAGTCGGATACCTTATTTGTAAAAGGATACTTCGTAGATGACGGTAGTACTGCCATCGAAAATAATATATATTACCGAAACGAAACGATGCTTCGTTATTCCAATTTTCTTGAAATAGAAGTGAAAGCTTGACTGGGATTGTATGAATGAGCGTTAATTTACTGTAACATTGAATTTTTTTAGATGTAAAATGTATTCATTTGTAAATGGCAAAGATTCCTTTCAATTCCTCGTGTAAACATAATATCTTTCCATCTACGGATTCTCTACTCTATCAATATACGTAGTGAATGAAAGTCCAAATAAAAGTTGGCTTGCATAGTAAAGGAGTTTCACTGACGAATTCAAACTTCCATGTTGACATTTAATGCTGAGTTTGGAGAGTGAGTTGGATTTTTACTTTGTTTTGTTTACAAAGTAACATCGTCACTCGCCTACATATATTCACATCTTAATGATGAACATTTTACCGCAGCAGCTTACATTAGCTTAGAAATCTAGAAATAGCCTATGCTATTATTCATATTAATATTTTGTTTGTCGTATTCTTTCCAAAAATGTGCGCTTGGTGAAAGGTTAACGTTCTCTTACGATCCCGTCGATAAGAAAGCTACATCAGCAAATTCAACAGAAGCTGATTTATTTGGAGTTGCAGATGATATTCAACCATTGTTAGATCTGGTTACAAATGCTACAACGACATTTGTTAACAATCCAAAAGGACTTCTGTACGATGCTAAAGCAGGTGACCCAAAGTCCCAATTTTTAGTGGGAATGCTGTATGCCATGGGTCCTGATGATCGACTTATCATTCAGTTGCCCCATGATGAGTCGTTATCAACATTATACTTGGAGTTTTCGGCAAAACAAAACTATACATATGCATTACTTGCTCTCGGATATCGATATTCTGCAGGAATTGGCACTCCCAAACAACTGGATAAAGGAATTAGCTACTACCGTCAAGTTTCTGAGCAAGTAACCTCTTTAGTCCGTCCTCTAACACATTTCGCTCGAGATATGGAAAAAGATTACCCTGTTGATGTTTATGACCTTTATGGACGATATTCTTCGGACTCGAGCATTTTACATATAAGAGACGACATGCTTGAATATTTAAAAGACTATGCAGTGAACGGAAATAATATAACGGCACATTTTCATTTGGCCGCTGTATATCACCGTGGTCATTTAGGCAAACCAAAGAATCCCGCTTTGGCAGTGAAGCACTATCTATCTGCTCTTCGGCTCGCTTATCCAGGTATTTCTGAAGATTATAAAAAAGCGATAGATCAGATGTACGACCTGAATAAGAATGGTCTACCCAAAAAGGCAATGAAGGATTTGGACAGCATCGCCAATACTGCTTTTAATCTCGGATGTATGGAATTACATGGCGATTTTGGAAAACGAAATCTAACCGCTGCTTTCAACTGGTTTAATTTTGGAAGATCTTTGAACCATTCTTCTTCTCTATCAGCCCTTGCATATTTGTATGTTATGAACTATCAAGTTCCTTTAAACGAATCAGAAGCAAAGCAGCTTTTGCATAACGCTTTTTCTCAAATGGATCCCATTGCATATACAATTTTAGGAAAACTTGCGTTCTCTAAAAACAACATTGAGGAAGCGCTAATGTATTTCAAAAAGGCATTCGAAGGATCTCACTTAGAAGCAGCTTTATATCTTGCTTACATCTACTCGAATATCGATCAGGAAAAAGCAATCTTATTTTATGAAAACTTTATCAGTAGAACTTTGCAGATGTACTTTGATTTTAGGGCTTTGTCTATGGATACGAAAGTGAAGTATTTTTTTACTCGACTTTCTGCTGAGTTAGGGAATCCCATGTCGCAAGTTTTGGCAGGTAAAAATACCGACCCTTCCAAGTCCTACTTGAAGAGCGCTATTTTTCCGTTCACCAATACCACTTATCGTGAGGCACAAATAGCTCTCACTTATTATACTCGAGCCGCCGTAAGGCATCATGTCGATTCGATGATAAAGGTTGCTGACTTTAATCAATTTGGACTAGGTACACCCAGAGATTCTTGTTTGGCTTTCTCTTTATATACTCAAGCTACAATGGATCGTTCTTCGTTAGCTTACTGGCGTCTAGGTGAGATGCATGAGTATGGACGTTGTGTTCCAGTAGATTTTGAAATGGCAAAAAAAAATTACGACACTTCTTTAGAATTGAGTAGTAGAGGTCTACTTGCTATTCTCTTGGCTAAACTACGAATGAAGTTAACCAATCCTGATACTAAGCTTTCCGTAGTATATCACGCTATGGGTTTGGTTATTATGGGTGTTTTAAAGAGCGTTCAAAAATTTATTTTGTTTCTCAATTCAATTTTCTCACGGGATCACCCAAAAAAGAATATTGATTTGCTCGATAACTCCTTTCTTCAAAGTTTTTCCCAAAATTCAGACGGATTAAAGTCTATGACTCCAGAACCATCCACAAAATCTTCGGATACGTTAACTTCGACGTTCGATATGAATTCGTTGGATAGGAGATTTATTGAGACTTTGTTTGTAACTTTGTTTGTAATTATCGTCGGTTATATCTTGATGAAGCGTCATCAACAATTGAGAAGTCATCAAGTGCAGGTGGATAACCAAACGCAAAATGAGAATATCGATAGGCTTCCATTCGATGGTTAAACTTATGTAACTATTCTATATATGTTTTCTTTTTCCGTTCGTTCTTATTCTTTCCTTTTCATACGTGCACGATGACTCTGCTTTACATGATTTTAGTTTTAGAAGAAATCCTATAATATTATTTTGGATATGAACCAGTTTTGTTATACAGACTATTATTTCAAGATTATTTATTAGTATTTAAAATAAATAATATTTTTAGAAGAAAACGAAACGTAAGTGCCTTAAATTAATTTTAATAACTGCATAGGACATTAGTTGGGTATTTGAAGTTTATAAAATAAGGCTAATAGCTTTTCGTAATAAACAGACAATCATCAGTATCATAAACAATATATATATACAGAAGTACTTTTTACACATCAATTTAACCCTTCCAATCTTCAAACTCTTCATCGTAAGCGATTAAGTCAAAAGGTACGCCAAATTGTTGTAAAAACATACCCATTGAAAACTCAGATCGGGTTTCTTCTATATTTCCTTTATTTTCACCTTCTTGAATCGTATATGTTTGAGTAACTCCACCAGCTAAACGGATACGCTCCGCCATAGGTCGATACAGAACTTGTGCTGCTCTTTGGGCTACTCCTCTCCATTTAAATACCAAACCCTCCAAATCTTTATCTTCATTTTTTAATTCAACTTTTACTGCGGCTTCAGCAGTTGTCAACTGCTCTTGAAGGTTGCGTACGTCCTTTTCGAGTTTTAGACGCTCCGAGAGAAGACGAGCAACTTCTGGATCGTTTTGTACTTTATTCGTTGCAGATATTGGTGACCGAAATACCTTCTTTGCTCGCTTAATTACTCTTGGGGAAGGACGAGAAGGAGATGAAATGGGATCAGATAAAACATCATCAGAAGATTTCAATTCGTCAGATGCATAATTAGCAACTTTACAGGTTCCAGGGGTTGTTTTCGGTGTAGCAGGGTACTTAAGAGGGCTTTTAAAAGGCTTTAATAAAACGGATTTTGCTTCCCTAGCACGCTTTCTTGGGTTGGGTGGGTTTAATTGGGTATTTGTAGTATGTTTTTCTATGTTTGATAACGATGGTAAGTCAGAACTGTCCTGTGAAGCATTTGGAGTAGTTGGCTTAAGTTCAGAATTATCTCGTGAAGGTGTAGGAGGAAGTTCAGTTTTAGAAATCTGGGCTTCTTCTGAGTGTATACTGTTTATGTCGTCAATTGCTGGACGTGACAAGTAAGAGTCAGCCTCACTCTCTAGCTCTAGGTTCTTTTCACTGTTTTCCATTTTGATATGTATGAATTATGAGCTGTGGTTCCTTATGTATGGCTCTGAATATGTCGGTGACGCGACGTGCCACGAAAACTCTTGCTAGCAATATAGCTGCAACTACGCGGAAAGCAATTTAAGTTTTAAAAAATATTAAAACTAACGCACTTCCTACGGGTAAGGTTATTATTAAAGTAACTATGATTTCAAGATATGTTGGGAGAGGGATACTTTATATGACCTCGAAACCCAAACAAATGCTACACGCTACGATCAGAATTCCAGGATAATTCCATACAAAAGAAGCTTACAAAAAGAATTAAGAGTTTTTAAATAAATCAATTGACTATTGATTGAGACCTTCTTCTGAATCACATGTACAACAATGCCCTACTGTAATAATCTTATAAAAAGCCTTGAACATTTTTCTCGGTTCATAATATTATAGGAATCATAAACATAAGGTGGATGCAGAGAAAGAAAGTTCGTATAAGCTAAAATCCATATACACGAATGTGTTCTGTCTTTGATTATACGAACCATCTACCTTGAAACCTCATTTATTGATTTCGTTCTCTTTCCGTATAAATCGGTAGAGGCTTGTTTATAGATCCTAGCTTAAAGATTACTGGGAAATTTCAAATGAAGCTAAGGCTTGATTGACAGTTTATAATTTAACTCATCAAAGTCCAAAGCCCAATGTCTATTGAATTTGAATGGTCCAAGCTTGATTCAGAGTTAGAAGAAAAGCTCTTTCATATATTAGAAGATCGAGTTTCAAAGCTAGACCTGCCAAGCTATATTAAAAACCTCAAGGTTACTGGGTTTCATTTCGGTGACATACCACCTCAAATAAATATTCAGGATATAGGAGACCCAGACCCTCAGTTTTACGAAGATGAAGTTTTGGACCAGGTGAATGATGAACTAGAAGGTAATACTTCTTTCAGAACGAATTTCTCAACGTCAGTTTCTGATTTACCTCCTTATGGAGCTGAGTATAGGTTTCCGAGGCTTGCTTATTTTCATCCAGCGATTAGTACACCTGGGATTATTTCAGCCAGTGGACTCACAAGTCCTCTTAGAGGAGAACGTCCTATATTAGCTTCGGAAAGCCGTGAGGAACGAAACCACTCAGATGACTTTCAAGTGACCATCCGTGTACAGTATGATGGGAATGCTAGTTTGAGTTTGGAAGCAAGTATATCTATTAATTATCCTAATTCCGAGTTTGTCAGTCTTCCTTTTCAACTAGTATTTAAGGAAATATCCATTGACGCGACCGCTGTGTTGGCGAAAATGGGTTCTCGTACCCATCTTTGCTTCGTCGACACTTTGGCTCATGGTTCAGAAGAAAATGCTTCTAGCGTAATAAAGAATCTCAAAATTGAAAGCGTTATTGGAGAATCGAATCGACAGCTCTTAAAAAATGTCGCCAAAGTGGAGCGTTATGTTTCACAAAAAGTTAAAAGAATTATTGAAGATGAGTTAGTCTGGCCTAGTTATCTTACGTTTGAATAGAAAGTCAGTTTAATTTTTAATGAATTGTATACTTTTCTTTTTCTCTTTATTGTCTTAGTCAACGCTCGTCAATCACTCTTCTACGTTTCTTATACTAAAGTTCGCGAGATCCAGCGCTCGCTATGAACTTGAGCAAAGATACATTATACTGCCGTAGCCAGCTTGGTTTCGGAGTTTACCAACTAAAAGAGTGTTATGAACAAGTATATACAGCATTGCTATCTGGTATACGATTAATTGACAGTGCAATAAGTTATCGCAACGAACGAGAATGTGAACGTGCAATTCAAGACTTTTGTACGAACCACCCGTATGTGAAACGAGATGAAATTACTTTAGTTACAAAAATACCAGATTCCTTGCAAGGATTTGACAGAACTTGGAAGGCGGTTTTTCAGTCTTTGCGACGTGTGGACCGGCCTTCTTTGGATATGGTATTAATTCATTCGCCCAAATGGCCTGAGCGGCGAACAGAATCGTGGCGTGCACTCGTTAAATTAAAGGAGGAAGGATTCATTCAAGAAATAGGTGTCTCCAACTATAACATTCATCATTTAGAAGAGATTGCTGCTTCTAAACTTCCACTGCCAGCGGTTAATCAAATCGAATTATCCACTTTTAATAGCAGGCAAGAAATACAAAAATATTGTTCGGCTCATGGAATCGCTCTCATGGCATTTTCTCCTCTTACTACAGGACAACGCCTTGACGATAATCGTCTCTTAGACCTAGCAGCCAAATATAAGAGGACACCATCACAGATCCTCCTGCGCTACTGCTTGGAACGAAATATATCCCCAATCTTTAAAAGTGAGAAGCTGGATCATATTGTTGAAAACGCTAATTGTAAAGACTTCCAAATGAACTCTAAAGACTTAGCATGGATGGCTACCTGGGATGAGGGATTCATAAGTAAGCCCTCGTGGAATCCTATTATTCTTCCATGATTTAATAAAAATTTTATTCAAGTATTTAATATATAGAGAAAAGACTTTTCTCTCTTTTTTTAGCTGTTGGCTGGGACCTTTATTCAAGCTATCCCTAAACACCTTGTAAAGCTATTAAATTTTCCATACCAGAAGAAAGCAATTTTTCTTGATAGAATGGAGCTGCATCCATTTTTAGATGCACTTCCTTGTATGTGAAAGCTATTAATTGATTGTTTTTCTAATATTCGGTTTAGATTATGAAAAATGGTACCAAGAGCAAGATCGTGGAGAAGCAATGCAGCTTGTAGAAGCCGAGGTAGTAAAGTCTGGTGGGATAAGACTTCCAAAACCCTCTCCTGATGATTTTACTACGCCATTCAAAATTTCTGAGCGAATGCAAAATGCTGTTCAAGCAGCCGGCCGCGGAGAGAAATTACAGTCTATTGATATAAACCGTTACATCAATTTACAAGCTCCAGGGAATCCTGGAAGCCTAATTCAGTCAGCAGTAGCTTTGGAATACCTAAGATCACGGGAAGATAATCTGGAGTTGCTGAGAAAGCATGGTGAAAGTGCTTGGATGAATCATATTGGGTCACTGGAAGAGACTTTGCAAAACATAGAACGTGAGATCCAAACTACTCGAAGGGAGACTCAAGCATGCAATCGAAAGCGAAAGCATTATCAAATGGAAATTGGAGAAAGACTTGCGGATCATGAAACCCAGTTTAGCAACTTGTTACTAAACTCGATCCAATGCCGCGTCGCTATTGCTTTGGCAAATCATTAGTATTTTATTTTCCTTTAAAAAGAAACGACTTTTTAATTCTAACTTTACAAACCTAAAGGCATGATACGCTGACACTACGTAAAGAACCATTTATATGATATCGGATTTTTGGTTTCCTTCCCTTACTTTACTTTACTTTACCCTACCATAAACACAGGCATTAATAAGTTTTAAGAATAATAAATCTCGGTTTCGTCTGGAAACCGTTAGGAGTTTACTGTACAATTTATCAAGGTTCTCTATAAGACTACGAATGCCTATATGTACAACGAATTTTTAGCGACTGTTCAGCAAAATCATATATTATTCACTTTTCGTTCATAATCATCATACAAACAGAAAGAAAATTAGACAGTACCGCACTTGTCGATGGCAATACGAGCACGAGTAGCACCAGAGTTGGAACCTAAGCTTTCAACCTTCTTAATGACATCCATGCCACTGGTAACTTCACCGAAAACGACGTGTCTACCGTCCAACCAAGGAGTGACAACAGTAGTGATGAAGAATTGGGATCCATTGGTGTTGGGACCAGCATTAGCCATGGACAACAAACCGGGCTTGTTATGCTTCAAAGTAAAGTTCTCATCAGGGAACTTCTCACCATAGATGGACTTACCACCGGTACCGTTGCCGCGAGTGAAGTCACCACCTTGGAGCATGAATTGAGGGATAACACGGTGGAAAGTGGATCCAGCGTAGCCAAAACCCTTTTCGCCAGTACAGAGAGCACGGAAGTTGGCAGCGGTTTTAGGGACAACATCGTCAAATAACTTGAAGACAACACGTCCCAAGGGTTGGCCGTTGGCAATAATGTCAAAGAAAACGTTAGACATCTTAATTTTCAGTATATGGTTAAAGGCAAGTCAACTTAGTACTGAAATTTATAGGTAACACCAATATCGTAACTAGCAAAAATAATACATCTAATTTTTTATACATAAATCTCTTAATATCTTTATGTTTTTATATATCGCATGACTTTTCTGTAGCTGTTATTCTCATAGCTAACATGCCAAATTCCATAGAAATCTTTATGAATCAACAGATGCCAAGCCAAACACTACATGGTCTCTTTCATCACTCGGTTTAACGATATGTTACGCAACTCGCAATACGAAAGTGGTTAACAAACGTTGTTAAGGGTGAAAGTTTTATCTGGTAAACTACTGTTTTAGGGACGAAAGGCAAATACTATGCAGAATAATTTTTCATTAGAGAATAAACCTGTTTAAACCTTTTTTACGTCTGCATATTGGAAGTGCATTCCTTGGTTCCTTGTGGGCAAGAAAATAGGAAGTATGCAAAATTGGAAAATTGGGAAATTTTTACCAACATGTGTACGGTCAATGTCAATGCAAATAGTTAAGGGTCAGGAACTTCAAAAAAAAAACCAAAAATTTAATCACAACTTGAATAAAAATTTATTTTCTAATACATTCATTATAACGCCGAAGCATAAACAAACAAGAGTCGAATTTGTAATACTTTTTAAGACACAACAAAATCGCTTTCTTTCGGCTTTTTAACGCTATCCGACTTTCCAACACTTTAATTTTATGTGCGAAAAAATGTTGTCCTCCATCTGTACATAATGAAAACTCAGTAGGATACCCATATAAAAAGCCAATACAAACAACATAGACAACCAATTAACATCACCACTCCTTATAGAACCATAGAAATATTAACAATAAAACAAAAAACCCATCAAACGAATGAACCTATTCTTTTTCCTTCTTTTAAAAAAAAAGAGATAAATAAAAGTTCCAGTAAATAGGGTCATTCCAAAACACTGCAACCATCAAGATTTTTTTAAATTTCAGATAAGGAATATCAAAACTTGAAAAAAAAAAAAACTGAAGTTTACAAAACCGTTTTTTTAAGCGGCAGACGTAGCAGTGTCATTTTCTTGAGTGTCTCGCAAAGCCTCTGTTTCACGACGAAGAGCAGAAAAGTCCCAGTTCTCTTCGCCTTCAATATCAAGGTTCTCTTTAACCTTGCCCTTATTACGTTGAAAGAATTCACGACCAGTCATGTTGCCTCTACCAGTGGGACGGTTTTTACGGCGCTCTTCAGCTTCCTTAGCCAAACGGTCTTTGCGCTTATCACACCATTGTTTAAAGTTCTCTTCGGTAACGCGAGTGAGATTGGTACCTAAGCGATAACGTTCAATTTCAATGAATGCTTCCAAACTAATCTCTTCCTTTTCATTGTCACCCTTCTTCTTATCACGGGCCAAAACGTATCCACGAGGCAAAGAATGCTTGTAGATACAAGCCATGTTGCCGTTAGGGCACTGCCAAAGCCAACCATATTTGCCTTGTTCGCAAGCTTCCAAGAAAAACTTGCAAACAATGTCAGTATTTACCCAAGGGCGTTTTTCAGGAGGCAAATCCGTTTGTATGTCACGAACATCTGAGTAAAGGTCGATTTTTTGAGACTCTTTGACTTCTTCTTTGCGATTAACATATTGTTCGCCGTTATTTTTCTTGGGTATAGCATTAAATAAGGCAGAAACTTCAGCCTTTGCCTGTTCAGCCGCTTTCTTCTCCTCTTCACGACGCTTACGCATGACTTCCTGGCGTTTGGCCTCCTTGCTGTTGGTACTGTTTGCATTTTGTTCTATTTGCTTGATTTTCGTCTGTACCTTGGTAGACCTATTCTTGTTTTTGAGACCAAAGGTGGCGTCTGCAACTTTTTTCGAAGGGTCTTTTTTGGGTTTGGGCTCTGGGGCCTTTCCTTTTCCTTGTGCTGCTGCTTTTTTAGGTGGCATCTTGGATAGCTCGAATTATCTTTTTAAATACTTTAAAGAATATATATAAAGTACTGAATGTTTTGAAAAAGGGATGCGAAAAGAGGGTAAAATGGAAGAAATGGGGAAAGTGGGTGAAGACAGAAAAAAAAAGTTGCAGGTTTGCGTATGTCAATACTGACAGAATATGACGCGCTCGATCGAATTCGAAACCTGGTTCTCGCTGTTAATGGCTTCTAAAAGTCTCGTTTGTTAATTTAATGAGATAGAATTTCGTATCGTTAATCAAGTTGCTTATACCCTAAAGACAGGTAAAACAGTGTAAGCGTCGTAATAGGAAGGATGATGGAGAGGTGTCAGTTATGTTTTTTATTATTTATGAATTTGGTGAAAAACTCCTTTAAATATATTTTAGTTATTCTAACAACTTTTTTCTTATAACAGTGCATATTTATTCTAGGCATATGATGCATATTAAATATTACATTAAAGCATATATTCAACCATGAAAAGATATGCATAATCTATTGTAGCATATGCTTATTCGCGTTTAAAAGCATATGGAGAATGATTAAGGAAATAGCTATATTGGGATGTTTGTTGGGTAGGAAAGAAAGAAAAATGTACAAGGTGAGAAAATTGTTCTTATACCGAATATCGCTCGCACGACAAAAGAGGAAGACGTTCATTAAAAGACAATTACAGAAAATGCAAAAGTGGCTTTTTTTTTCTTTTCTTTCTTTTCTTTCTTTTCTTTCTTTCTTTCAAGTAGCAAATTCTCTAAATAAGTAACTCAACGGAACATAAACGGTCGCTTCAAGGTTAATAAATTGAAATAAAAGTCCGTTAAACGAATACAAGAATAATCACGACATTGTGACTATTCAATTGCAAAATCACCTAATTAAATTATGACAGAATTTAATGGATTGTAAGAGTATTTAATTTTGGGTGTTAGCTCTATAAGAATCGTCTTCCTTTAACTCCCTCCTTTTTTATAAGAATATTTTTCCTTTCATCGGAGCTTAGCTAGCAGATTACGAATTGCATTCTATTATTAACCCTTTTAAAAAGAATAGAAACGAAAACACATCATGAGTCAAACTGTCTTCAAAGATATTTTTGCTAGAGACGCTCCTTTTCGTGAGCAACTCAACAAGGAAGCAGCATCTTTGCAAAAGATTATTTTAACGGAACGCCAATTTTGCGATCTTGAGCTTATTTTAAATGGTGGTTTCAGTCCTTTGGAAGGATTTATGACTGAAGAGGACTATCTAAGTGTCGTAAATAACTTGCGCTTGAAGTCCGGCGCAGTATTCCCTATTCCCGTTACCCTCGATGTTAGTGAGAGCCAAGCCGGTGCCATTAATGCTTCAGAGCGTATTGCTCTTTTGGATCCTAGAGATGAACAGACGATTCTTGCTATCCTCACCGTTGAAGACAAGTATGTTCCCGATAAGGTTGTCGAGGCTGAGAAGGTTTTTGGCGCTAATGACCGCGCGCATCCTGCAGTAGAATACTTGTTTGGGACTGCTGGTAATGTTTATCTTGGTGGTAAGCTTCAAGCCGTTAACCCTATACGCCATTTTGATTTCGTTGCCTACCGCTATACCCCTGCTGAGCTCCGTTCTGAATTTGAGCGTAATAATTGGAACCGTGTTGTTGCTTTCCAAACTCGTAATCCTATGCACCGTGCTCACCGTGAGCTTACTGTACGTGCCGCTAAGCAACACTCTGCTCGTGTGTTGATCCATCCAGTTGTTGGTATGACCAAGCCAGGTGATATTGACCACTTCACCCGTGTTCGTGTTTACGAAGCTATTCTTCAACGCTACCCCAAGGGTTCCGCTAAACTTTCTCTTCTTCCATTAGCTATGCGTATGGCTGGTCCTCGGGAGGCCTTATGGCATGCCATCATTCGCAAGAACTATGGCGCTAGCCATTTCATTATTGGACGTGACCATGCTGGTCCTGGAAAGAACAGTCAAGGCAAAGACTTTTATGGCCCTTATGACGCGCAATACTTGGTTGAGCAATACTCTCACGAAATTGGAATCAGCATTGTTCCTTTCCAAATGATGACTTATTTGCCTGATGAGGACATCTACAAGCCCGTCGATCAAGTTGAACCCGGTACTCGCACTCTAAACATTAGTGGTACTGAACTTCGTCGTCGCCTTCTCGTAGGTGCTCATATTCCTGAGTGGTTTTCTTACCCTCAAGTTGTATCCATCTTGCGTCAATCTTATCCTCCTAAATATGCTCAGGGTTTTGTTTTGGCCGTTCCTGCTACTGCAGATAAGCTCGTCCCTAGTGCCTTGATTTCTGCTCTCAATGAAGATGGTCGTCGTCACGTAACTTCTGTCTCCCGTTTGGACACTACTTCCTTAACTTACGCTCAGGAACTTCAACGTGCTGGTGCTGCCGTCGTTGTTTCTTTGGCTGATGCTGATAAGTCAATTCAAATCCCAGCTAATTGGGTTCAAGTGAACATTGATCCCCATGAAACCGTATCCGAAGTCACTTTTACTGTTCTTTCTCAATTGTCAGATGAGGGCTATTTGTAAAAACAACTGACCTAGTTGAAGGTTATAATCTTTCTTCTTCCTCAAGTGGGCAATGTAAATTTCCCCTTCATGAGATACATAAGAAGCCATGTTAATACCTTTCTTTCTTTACACTCAGTTTCTGATTCTTGTTTTTCTTGTTTATCTTGTTTATTCATGTTCAGTTTTGGCACTACAAAATCAATCCCCTTCTTTCATAGGTTGTTAAGATGTAACTGCTCAAAATATGATTAAAAATTATGATATCCAATAGTTTTAGTGCTGGCAACTTATATGAAACAGAAAAAAATTGTAAACAAAAGAAGCCTTCCCTGAAAATTCAATAAACTGTAAATAAGTACAAAAGGACCCAAGTTTTATTTTGTATTATTCAAATCAAATTTATTTGATTTCATTAACAATCCTCTTTCTGTTTGTAATACGTCTCGATTTCTTTATTGGTCTTTCGCTCTTTCTTGAAGCTACCCTTTACCTGAAACAAGGAAACTGCCAACTCTTAAACAAAAGTACCACCCGATACTATATAACAAGAATGCAAGCTGTTCAGCCTTCTACAAGCGATAAGTGTAAGTCAGAAATAATGTAAGTTATAATTCTAACGGATTTATGTAGTAAAGATGGGAGCTATTATGGGGTCGGCTGCTGGGCTTGGTATTGGTTTCCTTTTCGGTGGCATGGCCGTGCTAAGATATGGTCCTGGTCCACGCGGTTTTTTAAGAACTTTGGGTCAGTATATGCTTACTTCTGCCGCTACATTCGGTTTCTTCATGTCCATTGGTTCGGTCATTCGTAATGAGGATATCCCTCAATTGGAATACAAAGGCGTTGAGTGGACGCCAAGGTTAATGCAACAACGTTCAATCTATGATCGAATCTTAGCAGAAAGCTCCCGTCGTGGGGAGACTACATCCAACACCTCGAATTCTAAGTAGTTCAATACTCGTATTGTCTAATTTTTCTTAGAGCAGATGAACGACTTGCAAGTATTAGCTGACAGTTTTGGTTTCAAAAAAATTAGAAAATTTTGATCCGTTAATTTTGGATTGATTCTAATATCAGGCTTTGTTGAAAAATAGGCACTAGCACTAGTATACATCGTGAAAGTCGTAATGAATTTTCTAATAATGTCTACAAACTTATATCACCAATGTAGCAACCTTTAATGAATAGTAAGTAGATCTTTATGTCTGGTGTACTAAGTTTTGAATTATTGTATACTGCTATATAAACAAAGCGATATATACAAGAAATATATATATATAAGTAAAAGGAAAATCGAAATCAAAATCAAAATGGATTTCATAATAGATAGAGTTTAATGCTATAGAAATTGAATGCAAGCAAAAATCAAATAAAAGAGCGTGGAAGTATAATAAATGCTTCGTGAAAATAAGTTCATCAATAATTGCCAAAAATAAAAGAAAATCGTCATCAAAACTTATCAAATGAGTATTCACGCACAAGTTTTATGGTCGATGTACATAAGGTAAAATAAAATATTTTTGCCATAGCTGGCTCTTTTATGGTTTTCCCCCCAAAAAAAAGAAACAAGATATGAAAAAAGGTTTATGGAGATCCAAAATCGTGTAATAGAATGAAGGAGCTTGAGGAATAATGCTTTACTAGAAAAATCACTGGACGTCTTTGGCAACTTCCGGTTCTATGCGCTTGTCTGAAGCAGAACGGATATTTTCTTCTTCTTCAGAGGCATCCTTACTGCTCAACGAATGTTGACTCATGATTTCTTGACTTTTCATTTCGACTTCTAAAGTTTCTTCATTTTTGTGTTCATTATTCTCTTCGTCAATTGGTTTTTCTGACGCCGAAATTAAATCAACGGCGGCTTCTTCATGTATCAACTGACTGTCATCAACCCGTTTCCCTTCTTCAACTTTGCTCTCTGGTGAACCAAAATCAATAAGTCCAAAGTCCATCTTCTTATGGGAATTTAGGTTAGCAAACAATTCTTCAACTTGAAGCTGTTTGAGAGTAAGATTGTTTACAGCATCCCTGTCCTTTTCCTGGTGTTCTTTCTCCAGTTCCAAAGTATTTACACGAGAATGCAATAATTCATTCTCTTTTGTTAGAACGTCCATGTGTTTTTGGATGGCTTCCTGCTTTTCTCCGTCCAAAGCTTCGCTCGTGACTCCTGATTGAGTGTTCATCGCTTTCACGACACTGAGTTCTGCTTGCATGGCAGTTAGTTCATCACGTAAGTTGTTTATCAACTTCTTTGAGAATTCATTCGACTCTCTTTGCTGTTCATATTTTAACTTTAGTTGTGAAATTTGAGCGAGAAGATCTTTCTCAATAAGTTTGTTCGCTTTCTTTTCGTTTTCTAGTTCATTGATTTTTGATTCAAGCAGCAACGAGGCTTGCTGCATTTCATACTTCTCACCATAAAGCAAAGAACACTGAGAATGGAGATCTCTTATTTCAAAGGACGGCATCTGCTTGTTATTTTTCGTCATTACATCGCTTGGATCATTGGATTCGGGAACAGTATTCTCCTTTATCGACTCATTGGAATTATGTTCAGCTTTTCCTAGCTCTCCCTGGAGAGATTTAACCTGTTCACTTTGAGCTTCCACGACTTTTCTAAGTTCATCGATCTTCTTGACATTTTCCCCTTTAGTAAATTCCAATAATTCTTGGTTAGTAGAGTAAAGTTGTCTAACTCTTTGGTATTTTGTTAACAAATGATTGAGCAAAAAAGAAAAAGACTCAATATCAAAATTGGGTTTCAGGTGCATTTGAACCTGTTCTAGTTCGTGAGAGGAATCTACTTGTAAGTCTTTGTGTTCATTTTCCTGTTGAAATAAACGATTTAATGCTTTCCAAAAATTCAGTATAGAACGAGGTGCAATGTCTTTCGCATCTGCTTCCTCTTCGAGCTTCCTTTCATGCATTCCTTTTAGTAAAATCTCAAGATGTCTAACTTGCTCTAATAATCTCTCTCCAGCTGTCATATCAACAACATTAACCACAGAAGGTTCATGGACAGATGAACCCATGGAATGCACTGTTTCGAGCATCCATCCCATACGCTCAACAAGTTGTTGTATTTCTTCATGATTCATCACTTCTTCCTCCTCGATTTCTTTTTTCGTCTCATCATCCTCGTTTTCTTGAGATACTGCATTCGAATCACTTTGTTGTTCACCGTTTCTTGGCTGTTTCTTGATTTCTCGAATGCAAACAGCAACCATATGCTTAAGCAAAAAGAAATAAAGCTCTGATAGTTTTCGTTCAATAACCCATATTTTTGAAGAGAGCTCTCGTACTTTTCTAGAGCATTGCTCATAATGCTCAATGGTGCTTTGTTTATGTTTACCTTTTTTTTCCTTGGTTTGCGCAAGCATCAGATTTTTGGCAGCCTCGCGGATTTTAGCTTCCACAGCAAGTTTCTTTACGGACACATCCAAATTTCCCTGAAAGATTTTTATCTTCCTTTTAATTTCCTCAACCTCTTTACCATTTAAGCATTCGAAATCGCTTGCATCTTTTACAGCTGACGAGACAAGTAAATCTTGCATATCATTAGGCAATGGTTGACTCCCAGAATGTTGTTTTTCTCTCCTATTATACTTAAAATTTGGGTTGAAGGGATTAAACACCTGTGTAGTTAAGAGAACTCCTGAAGACGGCGGCTCAGGGTTTCCGTATTTTTCCTTTAGCTCTGGTTCATATTTTTCTGTAGTAATACATGTTCCTCCACTCATTTCCATACTTCAATCTTGGTTCTTAGATATATTTGTTTGTTTACGTCTAGCCTAATATATAAACAGTTTCTTGTTTCCATGACAACCAAGGCAGGTAAATAAACAAAATCTGTTTTAAAAGAAACTTTGTCTATGATTGTTTCATGAAGTCAACGAGCGTATTTAATTTTTCAACGGGCTTTAATTTTCTGAATTTTTTCAACTTTTCATGAAAAAAGATATCATTATTCCTAAAAACCTAACATAAGCTATTATTTATATAGGTTAAACAATTGTAAATTGTAAACAATTTAGCATTAGCATAGTTCATTTTTCTGTAATTTAAAGCCATGAATCCAGGTTGAAGTCATGGATAAATAGAGAAGTTTCTTAAACTTGCTGCATCATCACTTCTTGACAGTTGGAAGTACTTTTAACTGGTTGCTGCATATTGGTATCCGTATAATTTCTGAAATACTCCATTTGATAGTCAAGGAAACCATAGTGCTTGTCAAGATGAACCAGATGAGGGAATGACCTGCCAAGAAATTCTAAATGCTGCATAACAAGGAGCCAATTCTGAGCAGATCGGGATGGTGCGGTACTTAACAACCTCATAGTCTTTGCATCGTAAGTTGTAAAATCTCTATCGACGAGGAAAAAAGAGGTTGCACTAGCTGTTTTAACCCCAATTAAACGTGGCTGATTTTCAACGCAGAAAAAAGACGAAATGGGCACAGTATGAAGCTTGGGATGTCCAATTCGACAAAGGATTACTTGTCGCTTCCAAAGTGACAATAGGGGATCGGTTTCTTGTTTTGAGGCAAAGTCAGCAAGGTGTACCCAAAGAGCACGCTGTTGATTCAAAGGTAGACTTTCCATAATATCCAATTCAAAAAGAAATTTGACGGGATTTTTTTCCAGCTCCATTATATAAGCAATTTCATCTTCCTTAGACCTAGACGATTGAAAATCTCTGGCCCTTGCTAGAGTTCGATGAACCTGATAGTTATACTTTTGTAAATTAGTTGGCAAGATTAAAGCGATGAAGCGCGTCTCCATATAAGCAAGTTCTCGTACAGAGAAAGGCATCTCCGATTTATCTTGCTGATTTGAGTTATCTTTAACTACAAAAGGAATATGGTTAAGACTTTCGACCTTAAAAGGAAGCTGTTCCCAATGAATTAATCGTTCTTCCTGAGTTTTTCGAAACATCCAGCGGGAAGCCTTTTGCTGAATATTAAACAAAGAAAGCTCTTTAGCAGTGTATTCGTATTTTTCTAAAGGAAGAAGACTATCCTCTTTAAATACAAAAAAATAAGTATCTTTTACAGTATGTCCAATAACTAGATCATTGTTCTTCGCCAGTTCCACATACAAATCTAGAATCTCTTTACGCTTCGGTTCATTTCCCAAATGATAATCGGGAATTTCTGAATCTATGACGAATAGGCCAAAGTCATTAGCTTGCTCTGAAGAAGCTTTGCTTTCGTTGCGTATGGTTTCAAGCTGAGATACGGCTCGCAAACGATCGTTTGTTTCTTGAACCTGGACAGAGTGATTTATAGACTTAACGTTCTGCTCATTCATTGCTGATTGAACGCCTTCTTCGTTTGCCGCGTTGAAAGAACCTTTGTCAACATCTATTTCTGAGCTTCCTGGATTTGTCGCAAAATATGCTAGCTTTTCTGCTAGAGCAGAATGAGCCTTTGCAGCTGCGACTCTTGGTCCATCGGGCATGTATTTTTCATGCTGAACAACAAAACCAGTGTCTGGTCCATCCAAAAGATACTTCCTAAGAAGGTACATAAACTTTACATCATAATCTTTAACATCAAAATTGGAGTCTGTCAAAACAAGGTTATCCCTAATTTCGTCAAACCCCCCAATCTGCTTAAGAACAGGAATGTATGCTGGGTCGCTTACTAGCTCGATATAAGGATCAGTTGAGTTACCTTCAGCAGCTCCATTTGAGGAGCTTTCTTTTCCTACTTGAAGGTTTTCAGAAAGTTTACGAACCCACTTGAAAAAGCGCAGCTGATGGCTGCTCTTGGTTGTCTGACTCAGCCTTGATAAGATTGAGGAAGAATTGGGATCTGAAAGTTGTGAATCGGTATCGGAGAAGGATGATCCTACATCTTGTGTTCTAGCTTCACCGTTAACAGCAGTATTAACGCTGCCTGAGGATACGGAGTTTTGCAAGCCAGAGTTCTGATCACTCAAATGAAATTCACCATTGTTGAAGGAATTGTCAATCCCCGATCCATTCTTCATCTTTTCAATCCCTTTTGGTACTGGCAGAAGACAGGTATAATGGTTGTTTACATCTTTCTTAAATAGTGCAACAAGCGATATTCCGTAAACAAAATAAACATTGTCAAAGCAAAAATCAATAAAACATTTACTGATATTCAAGATGAACAGACGAGAAGAAGGCACCTAAATATTAAATGATCCATGTATAGATTTTGTGTTGCAGAAAAAATAGAGATATATATTTATTTAAATTCTTAAAGAATCCCTGAAGAATTTGTAAAGTATCATTGTTTTTCAATCTGTACTATAATTACTCACAGCTGTGAGGTTGAAGAGAAGTCTATTTCGTGAATGCTTCCTCAATGAGTCAACTGGAAAGGTATTGAAGACAAAGAGGAAACTATGCACTAACATTTGAATTTTTTTAGATTAGAAAGATTGGAACAGTCAATTACATTAGCATTGTACGAAATTGATGCGAATTTCGCGAAATGTAACAGAACAGTGTCGACTCGAATTCTTCCAATTATAGAGAAATATACTAAGAACTGTAATAATATATGGGAGTCATCAAAGGTACGGGTTGAGGAGAGGAAGAAAGTCTTTTCCACTTACGTGCATTTTACTAATGCAACCAGTTTTGGAAGCAATTCTTCGAAACAAGCGCTAGTGTCTCGCTCTCTGGAGTCGAAGAACCAGTCCAAGGGTCTGAAAAACCGAAAGAAGGTTTTGTATCCTCAGAATCGAAATATACAGACAGCGGTGATCCAAAAATCGAGGAAGATGAGGAGGATACTGAAACGTTTTATCAAAACATTCCTTCGTCTTTCGGGCACGAAGCTTTTGAGCCTCAAGAAGTAAAGGATGAACAAGTTACTCAGTCTACTCCCAAGAAAGACACATCCTTTGAAAATCTTTCTTTAGAAAATGCGTCTTTAACACCGATACCCGCGCGTTTGCAAACCCCAGCTCGAAAGATCGACGAAGCTAATCTGCAACATACTGGACGTAGTGCTTTGTTGCACAGAGTACTGGACACGAACTGGCACGTCCAGGTAACTCCTCACGAGAAGAAGAAGTATGAAGACATGGACATTGATTCTTCTCCTCTCATGTCTCCTTCTCCAATTGCCATGAAGATGGAGACCATCTCAGCACCCGGAGATAGAACATCAAAATCCGCTTTGTCTATGTTTTCGGAATTCGAGCACGAAAGCAACGATAGCCTTATGCCAAATGGAATGTCGCCCCCCAAAACTATTCAGTTCAGTCCTCATTCTTTAGGCGACTCCTTCAATCGTACTGATGGTGAGCGAAGTCTTTCTTTGCAAAGGAAATTCGATGCTTTAAATGATTCCAATGAAAATATGATAAAAGAGGAGAGTTGGGAACTTTAGAAAATTTCCCGTTTCCTTTGTACCTTTTTATTTTCTTGTTCACTACTCTGTACTCTATTTGATGAATATTCTGATTATTCTTATTTTTTTATCGACTTTTGTTTGTTTTTCCTCTATTTGTTTACTTGTTTGTTTATAACTTAGCATATCGCAAAGACGCTTCATTATATAAGATTGTGGTTCCTGCTACCAAGTCCAAAGAAGTCAGTAGAAGTACAGAAAGAAGGATCTGGGCTTTGGAAAAAACCAACCATCCAAAGAGTCTAAATCAAATTTTTATACTTTTACGCTACGAAATGAATATTGACTTTACTGGTTATTTACAATCCTACACTATAAAGGATTGGATACGTATCTGCATCTACATTTGTGGATATCTCTTACTAAGGCCCTACTTGATGAAAATTGGAGAGAAGCTTCAAGAGAAGGATCATAAGCGATCAGAAGAACAAGGATATGTCGACCCTCAAATGACTCATGGAAGAACAGAGAAGTTTCATGGTGAATTTGACACAGATGATGAGGATGAAAAGGAAAATCCCGATGCTGAGTTCCGCTGGGGCTATTCTGCTCGTCGACGTATCCGCAAGCAAAGAGAAGAATATTTCAAAAATCAAAACAAATCGCCATTGGATGCATACACGGAAGATGACAATGATGCAGACATTCAAGAACATCTCCAAGACTAAGTGTTCATTTTCGAGTGAAAGGAGTTTCTGGTTCTTCTAAATTGGCTCGAAGAAAAGCATAATGGCTGTTTATTAATTCTTCATTTTAGTTTTTCTCCCTTGAGTGTTCAATGTATTTTTGGCGTTCGTTCGTTTCTCGTTTTCTTCCACCTGTTTTCTTATATAATTACTCTAAAATCGTTGAACTCTCTTTTGTTAATTCATTATATGCTTTCTTTCATTATTTAATAAAAGATACTTATAAGACAAGGTAACGTTTCATCAAATGAACGACTAGACCTCATCTTTCGTAAATTCCACTCTATTCATGTAATGTGTAAGAATTCAATTCATTTGAGAGCTAATTGATTTCCTTGAGGCTTACGAAAACAAAAAGACAAAAGCGAACTTTCATTGATCCTCCAAATATCCAAGCCGGCTTTGTTTATAATTTATCGAATTTTTACGCACACTCATTATTTGGGATTGTGCATTCGAGTAATTCAACGAACTCTACGTCTTGTAGGAACTAAGATAAGTTACTTTACTCATGATTCGCTCTTTTAAACGATTCTTTTTAAATTCAGAAGAGCTTCCTCGTGAGGCCTCGTCCTCCCTTTTGATAACTCTTTTTCCTCAATGCTTCATCAGCTCTTCCGGTAATGGATTTCAGCGAGAACCTACTCAAGTAGCAGTTCATGTTCAAGGATGGGTTCGAGAGGATCCTAATGGAACCCCATTTGGTCGTAAAGACCGAGTTATGTTAAGTCTTCTTCGTCGTTATGTTGGTCTTCCTCCTCAGGAAACTGTTGATTCGAATTTAAGTCTTCCAGAAGGAATCGCATCCATGAATGCAACGCCTTCAGTGGAACATATAAAAAAGTCCAGGGAAAGTAAAGGACATTCGCAGAGTGAACCCAATTTAAGATACTGTGAACAAGAAACGGAAAATGTCTCCACGGGTCAATCCAATACCTCTGCTCGATCTTATTATAGTCTGTCCAGCTTTGTTCAAAAGTTCATGATCCCTTCAAAGGAGAGCAGTTATATTTCGTCTATAGGATTAAAGCAGTGTGAGCATAATTTCATGACACGCTCAACGTATTTGTTGAGCCGTCCGGTTAAAAACAAAACCGTTTTGGTTCGGATTTATTCTACAGATGACAACTTTCAGGAACATTGCGTAGCTGAATTCAAAGCGATAACTGACCCAAATGGATACTTTATATTAAAAGAGGCAATTCCGTACTTTAAAACGAGAAACAATAAATTTTCAGTGGAAGCCATTGCCATTCGTTCTTTTGCAACGTCGGAACAAGCTCGCGCTGTATTGAATGAGGTTCCCATTCTGAGTCGTACAGGTGTTTCAGTCATTTCTGATATAGATGACACAGTAAAAAATACGAGGGTAGTTGAGGGACCAAAGAAAGTTGCAGAAAATACGCTCTTGGCACCTTTGACAAATCAATACATAGAAGGCGTTTCCGACTGGCTCCGTATTGTGACAAATTTAGGCGCTACTTTACACTTTGTAAGCAATTCCCCCTGGCAGCTTTGGCCTATGATCTCTGAATTTTTTGATACCGATAATATACCATTCGTCTCTTCGTTGCAGTTAAGGCATTTTAGCAGTGTTATACAAAACCTAGTTGAGCCTGCTGCTCAACGCAAGCGTGCAGGTCTTATACATACAATTCGAAACCTTGGCGATAGGAAGGTACTTTTGATTGGTGACAACGGAGAACAAGATTTAGAAATCTATGCTGAAATTGCGACGTGTTTCCCCGATCGGGTGCTAGGTATCTTCATCCGCGACGTGAAATCCGACTTTCATGCTAATGTGCAACCAAAAGGTACCAACGACACATCTCATCTGAATACTATTGCAACTACTGCACCAACTGGAAAATCAGGCGAGCATACTGCTAATGAGTCACTAAATACAAAGCCGAAAGACGTGGATAATGAACAGGCTTCAGAGTACTATCAACTAGAACAGGAGCAAGGAACCGAGCCTTCAACATTTCAATTGCATCGCTATTATACGTACCGTATCTTCGTTGAGGATAAAAAAGCAGGATTTCGAAAACCCAAAACACAAGTAGAGCACGCAGTGACAAGGTTGCCAAATGTTCATTACCTTACACCGTATTCCAGTATCAAGTACTCAAACAATGACATTCAGGACTGGTATATTCAGTTGGCACGTGCTCGAGGGCAGGTCGCACAAAATATACCTATTGTTATGTGGAGAAAGGGCGAGGAGTGCATTTCATTCACAAAAATGCTAATTGATGAGCATTTATAAGCTAAGAATTTAGCTGTCCTGTTTTGGCAAAGACGATTGCAATGTTTTGTTAGAATATGGAAGGGAAATTTAAAAAAAGAAGGGAAAGTAATATGTTTATATTTGATGACCATCTCGTAAACGAAACGGACTTTATTGCAAGAAATAATGATTGATGTTTGAAACGAATTATTATATCATGTAATTTTATAGTGTGATTTTATTTATAGATAAATAAATTATCTACTTGAAAGCTACCAAGGGAAAATATAAAACTAAAAGGGATTTTAGTTCAGCATGTAAACATTCAGATTTTCTTAGGGTGTAGTATTGCTGTTGCGTTAATGCTGTATAAGGATGTTGTTTTACGAAGCCAAACGAACTAAAAGGGAAACAGCCCTACCCTAACCAAGAAGAATGTGACTGTTTCTTGACACGACACAAACCTTGCATGAAGGAGAACATGCTTTTCACCAGACCCACGACACAAAATGAAGTTCTCCAGGAATGTCTCCGACTCTCGCCGCAAGCAGAGAAAGGCTCACTTCGCCGCTCCTTCCTCTGTTCGCCGTGTGTTGATGTCTGCTCCTCTTTCCAAGGAACTCAGAGAACAATACAACGTCCGTTCCCTTCCTGTTCGTCGTGATGACCAAGTTACTGTTGTCCGTGGATCCAACAAAGGTCGTGAGGGCAAGATTAATTCTGTCTACCGTAAGAAGTTCCTTTTGCTCATCGAGCGTGTCACTCGTGAGAAGGCTAACGGTGCCTCTGCCCCTGTTGGTATTGATGCCTCTAAGGTTGTCATCAACAAGCTTCACCTTGATAAGGACCGCAAGAACTTGATTCTTCGCAAGGGTGGTAAGGTCGAGTAAATTTTATAAAATGGATTTATTTTGCACTGGACCGTACAATCGAAAGTTGTGAAACAATGGATGGTAGCGTAAGGAGTAATAGTATGGGAATATGCGAGGTATGAAAAGCAAGAAAGTAGAAAATAGAGAAGTAGATGGATAGAAAGAGGTGAAAATTCAAAGGACTGCAGGTTTATCTTGGCATTAGAAGCAAACTACTTTTTTTGTCATAAACGTCCTGCGGAGAACAATACCTTTCTGCAGACCGTGCTAGATATTAACAAATGGCTAGTATGGTTTGAAGAAGGGGTACAAATGTTATAAAGCAATTGTAATGATTATAGAAGGAGATTTAGAATGATAGATAGGTTTTATTCAATAAACGTTTTAAAAGTGATTAATCATAAAGACAGGAAGGTTTACGCAGCAGTATGTCACGGTGTATAAGAAAAGAACATAGATATAAGTTTTCACATAGCAGGTTAGAAGAGGATAAAGACTGTAAGCCGTAGAATAAATAAATCACAATAAATTGCTAAAAAACAAGTAAAAAAGGGATTATGGTATTTTAAGGGAAACATAAAAAAAAGTTTCAAGAGGAAGGATCTTTTTTTTTTTTTAGTTTTGAGAAAAGGTTTGAAAGCCTACTGGTAATCGTTGTAGGGGTTATTTCAATATAAGTTTGATTTTCTTGTTTTCTGTTTCTGTTAGAAGCTGCACGATAAGTCGCTGTCCGACGATTCTGCAGCGTTTACTGTTTGACTAGTGCACGTCTTATTGGCAAATCGCTAAAATCCTCGTCGTCAATGATCGAAGATGGTTTTTCTTTCGATACGTCCCTTTTCCGTTGGTAATATTGACAAAACGAACCCTTCAACCCTGTTGACGACTTGCTAGATATCATTTCGGAGTATGAGTCCTCGTCATTGAAAGAAATGAAACGCTTTCGCTTGACTTGCATTTGGACGGCCACAGATGCTGTTCTCATTGTAGCTTGAGGATTCTCATCACCACTTGGCGAATCAAAAGATGATTGTTTCCTTCAATTCTCTGTATTATCATTATGCTATTGAGGAAGCTGGTTTTCTACCTGTTCCTTTAGCTATACAAAAGGGCATATTTAATCCCTCTCCTTCCTGTAATATTTCCTTCAGGATGTACTATTCTCCTTGGCAAAACATTTTTTCTAGTGACTTTTTAAAAAGTTATTATAACAAGTTCATCTGTTTCTTTGCCTTTTATCCTTAGATTTTGTGGTATACGATTTCGAACGCTGCCTAACAGCTTAAGATCCAGTTTCATTGTCAATGGAAGCTTTGTCTTTTTGTCTTGCATGTGCATCTCGTTTACAAGTAGCGCAACTGTATTGTTCATCCAACATACTTTGTATAATTTGATCCATCTCATCCCAAGTAGATTCGAATTCTTCCAGTTCTTTCATATATAACTCTCTAATATGTAATTCACTTAAAGTGTCAATCTTCGTCATAACATCATCCCTTCTCTTCAAAAGCTTCAAATATTTCTCGTATGTTAAAGACCAAATTGGCATAGACAAGAGGTAATCGAAGTCACTGGAAAAATCATCAACTGCTTCAGCTGGATCTTCGCCACTTTCTCGAGCCCGCTTTGCTACTATATTGGCCTCTCGACCCTTCTTAAGCTTTGGAATAGACTGAAAACCTTTTTCGCGAAGTTCAAGTATAAGTATGCCTCTTTTCTTTCCCGAGAAAATAAGCTCATTTTTGATAATCATATGAACGAATCTCGCTTTATTGAAAAATATGTTATAGCGACGTTCCAATTCAGCCACTTGATGGTTTTTTCGTCTTTGATATGTTAGTAAACGGATTTCAAAGAAGTCTCTTAAAATATCTTCAACAGTATCGTATTTCCTTATTCTTCCCGATGGATCAAATGCCACCATATTACTGGTAGCCTGGGTCCGGACTAATTTGAATTTAGATTCTAAGGATTCGGCCAAAGCTTCTCTCATGCCTTTTTCTGTGAGTTACTTGGAAATGTACATGATCAAAACCACCATAGTCTTTGTAATCTTTTATGAACGGTTGGACTTTATCACTTCCTGTCATACCCGCTTCTAGGAATTCCTTCATATCTTGAGTCCAAAATTGAGCAGGTAATTCTGTTATTTCCACTTCTAAGTCACTTTTTTGATTAATTAAACCATTAATTTTGTAACTGTCCGGAGACACTTTCTCTATGCTACCACGGAAACCGCGATACCAAGGAAATATGTCAAGCAAAGGTTCATTTATAAGAAGTCGTTTTAAGTTAGCAACAATATCTTTAGGGGTTATATTTTAATATGTTGGTTGACCAATCCGTTCCAATCTCCTCTGCACCATTTATAGAACCATTGGCAAAATTGGGACGTAATAGTCAGGGTTGATCTGCTGCCCTTCCTCGTTCTGATAATTGAGTATAGGATCATCTTCTGCTTTGAATAACTTTCTGGCTAAAGGAGAAAGAAAAGCCGAAATGCATCTAATTGCTTCTGGATGATCCAGTGCGTCCTTGCCGCCTTTGAAACGAGTACCCATGTAACCAGTAGGCACTAGAAAATTGAGATTATTACTTCCAACAAAATTTTGAGCCAAATTTATAGCTGTCTGCATCAAGGAATCATGTTGATGATAACCTATACCATTCTCATGCAAAACATAAGGTGTAATCTCTATCACCCTTTTTGAACGAGTAATATTTTTTTTTTTAAACAGTAATGAATAATCTTTCACTCATCTATGTTCAAACCGTCTACAACAGAGGGAATAGAATGGATATTATCTGTTGCCATACTCAGTAGAGTGAGTTTCTAAAAACATTGATTATTCGAGGAACTGTGTAATCCATACTGATATATACATATTTCTTCACTGAAGTAGTTGTCTGATTATGATAGTGGGGTAGAGCATTTTATCGTTTCTACCATCTTTAATAGATTTTTTCGCTTAGGGCGACGTATTCGAAACATAATGAAACACAATGCTTTATTTTGTAAATAAATGGAAATATTATTCAACTACTCTAATTTTGTGTTATGATTCTGTTTAAGTGAAACAAATAACCATAAACTATTTACAATCTGAATCATATACTGTGCGATACTGTGCAGTATGATTCAATCGAATGGAATATCAAGTAAAGTTACCAAGTGCGAAATTGAAGTTAGTTTCGACTATTATTTCTCAATTGGTACTAGACTAGTAATGTCCTGTGAATAAATTAGGTAAACATGTACAAACAAGTTTGATTCGTCCCATCAGCCAAATCGGTTTAACTGAAGATTTAGCTAGAAACAGTTAGGCTATATTAAACTATTCTATTTTCAATCTGTCACTTTCCAAGAAACAGCTAATTGAATTTCCTGGTCGCATTGAATATTTTTTCTTTTAATTGTTGACAACTTTTTTGTTTTGTTTACTTACAGGTAACTTACAGCGATACGCGTTCTTTAGAAATTTATCAACCGAGTAGTATATTATTCGATAATATAATAAGATCCCCTGAACAATATACACTATTATATAAAAGGATCTATCTAATAAAACTAACAGTAATAGAAAGTTGGTGCTTTTCGTTCCTAAAAATGGATGTTTACTCACATATCCTCTTCATTCTCTTCGACTATGAATGAGTCAGTCGTCTGACAACTACATTCATCCTAAAAGAACTGTATAAATCGGTTGAAGATACAAAGTTGAACGAAGCACAACGTAAGACGTTGGAAAACAAATCAAAGCTTAACAAACTAAATCGATAACGTAGTAGAGATAAAGTTGAAATCAGCGATATCCAAAACCAGCGACATAATTTGGCTATGGAAGATAGGAATAAAGTATCTAGAAAGATTAAGGGATTCAGAGTGAAACTCTAAACAAAGAAACCTAATTTGCTCATGAGTAAGCGATAAAACAAAACATAACTCCAGACAGATAGCGAAGGTTCATATTCCTCATCGCCATCGTGATTTGCATGAGTGGAAAGAACGATAGGAAGAAATGCATCACGTGGATAAGGAAGCGTTATAAAGTGATTATCGAGGTAACATTGATACACATGCATTCCACACGTGATTATAAACGACAAGGATGGACGTTTTTATAAAAACTAACCGAATTGCTATCTCTGTTATGTCTCTCATCTTTGTCTAAGAATAGGGACAAGAAAATACATCATACTACTCATCTATGAAGCATATTACTCAATTCTTGTGTTTAATAAACATGAAATGGAAACTCCACCCCTTTTCCCTGTTCTATTAAGGTAACCTAACCTTCAAGGAAATACAAATCACTTCACGTTTCTCTTTGTCCTTCATTTTGTTTATCTTCTATCTCTTATCGTATTCCCTTTGGTCAATCTTTTTCTCCTCCTATCTCCTGTGGGGTAAACAACAACGTGCCTGATAGACTAAATCCAAAATCCCAAGGAAAAGGCATAAAAGGCATGGGTTTGGCTGTTTCCTACATCGATAAATTCAAGCTTTCTCTTTAGCGGGACATTTAATCCTTTCAATTCATCTTCTTTTTTTTTTTTTTCTTTTTTTCACTCCTTTCATTTCCTTCTTTGTCATCTCTTTTTTATCTTTTTTAATTTTATTTTTTCCTTTTTCCTTTTTCTTTCTACGAAACTTTGATCTCTAGTCCATTTCGCTTTCTTTTGGTTTTTATACATTGACAGCTGTTTCGTTTACAAGGTCTTTCCGTGTCTTCCTTGTTTTTGTTTTCTTTCTTTTTATTTTCGTGAATTCTGTGAAAGCAAAGCTAAATCATATGCTGATTCCAGTTTCTTTCTTGCCTTTTTTCTAGATATACAATCTCTTTTTGTGGAAGAAACTTATTCTTGATACCTTCTGTCTGGATCGTCGGTTACGCACTTCTTTTATTCCTTGCTTCATGGATTACAACGCTGCTGTCTCCAATGGCTCGTCCATAAAGATGGCCTCCTCCGGGAGGTTGGACGAGGAAATTCGTGCCTCAACTTCATCCAATTCTTCAAAATCTACCAAGCAAGCCACCAAGGAAGCTGATGTCGATACTTACCCCGTAAAAGACGGTAAAGGTCATAACTCAGCTCGTTCTTCTGCCGACATCGAAAAAGGCGACATCGTCGAAAGTGAGTTTGTAGATGTCGAAGACGACTCTCCATATCCCGAAGTTCGTACTTCCGTCTCTCCAACCGATGACCCTTCTATGCCTTGTAATACCATCCGTATGTGGACCATTGGTTTTATCTTTTCTACCGTTGGTGCTGCCGTTAATATGTTTTTCTCTCTTCGAAATCCTCCCGTCACAATCACCGTCTTGATCGCTCAACTTATCGCATATCCTTGCCTCAAGGGTTGGGATTATATCTTCCCCGACCGTGTACTCCGCATTGGTCGTCTTCGCTTCAATCTCAAACCAGGCCCTTTTAACGTGAAAGAACATACCCTTGTCGTCATCATGTCTTCCGTCTCCTTTGGAAGTGCTTATTCGACAGACATCATCCTTTCTCAGCGCGCTTTTTACAAACAACGCTTTGGTTTCGGTTACGAAATCTGCCTTACTCTCGCTACCCAGCTTATTGGTTATGGTCTTGCTGGGGTTTCCCGCAAACTTTTGGTTCGTCCTGCCAGTATGATTTGGCCCTCCAACCTTGTTAATTGTACCCTTATGAAAACTTTGCACGTGTCTAGCAAAAAAAATAATCCGAAAAGTGCGAACGGCTGGTCCATTTCCACTTTTCGTTTCTTTCTCATTGCTTTCGTCGGTTGCTTTATTTGGACCTGGTTCCCAAATTATATCTTTACGGCTCTTTCTCTCTTTGCTTGGGTCACTTGGATCAAACCCAAAAGTCCCATTGTTAATCAGCTTTTCGGCGAGTCTACCGGCATCTCCCTAATTCCGATTACCTTTGACTGGAACTCAATCAGTGGTTATTTGTCGTCTCCTCTAATGTTTCCTTCTGATGCCATCTTCAATACATTACTTAGTACCATCATTTTCTTCTGGATCGTCACTAGTGCTATACATTATAGCAACATTTGGTATGGAAAATATGTTCCCATCTGCAGTAACACAATTTTGGATCATTTTGGAAATACCTATAATGTCAGTCGCATTCTCACTCCAGATTTCAGATTGGACCTTAAGGCTTTTCAAAATTATTCTCCTCTTTTTATGCCTACTGCATCTTCCGTATCATTTGGTCTTTCCTTTGCTTCCATGACTGCCGTTCTGGTCCATGTCATTCTCTATTATGGCAAGGACATCTGGGCCCGCATTCGCAATCCTCCAAAACCCGATGTTCATGAGCGCCTTATGAAACAATACAAAGAAGTCCCTAATTGGTGGTATCTTACCATCTTTATTGTATTCTTTGGTATGATGATGGGCGTTTGTTATGGATGGCCCACCGAAACTCCTGCTTGGGTCGTCATTGTGGGATTGATTTTTGCCATTGTATGGTTCGTACCTATCGGTGTTATTTATGCGATTACCAATGTCGAGCTTGGTATGAATGTTTTTACCGAGTTTATCGTTGGTTACATGTATCCCGGACATCCTTTGGCTATGATGATATTCAAGACGGTTGGATATATCACTCAAGCACAGGCGCTGACTTTTGTCAGTGATCTGAAGCTGGGTCACTATATGAAGATCCCTCCAAGGATGATGTTTTGGGCTCAAACCCTCTCAACCATCTGGTCTTGCTTTGTTCAAATTGGTGTTTTAGATTGGGCTCTCGGCAATATTAAAGGCGTATGTAATCCTGATCAACCTGATGGATACAGCTGCCCTGGCGCTAAAACCTTTTTTAATTCCTCCGTAATCTGGGGTGTTATTGGTCCCAATCGCATGTTCTCAGGCAAGGCTCCTTACACCGGATTGCAATACTTTTGGCTCGCTGGCGCACTTGCAACTGTTTTGTTTTGGATTTTATGGAAAAAATGGCCCCAAAAGTGGTGGGGTAAACTCAATGCTCCTATTATTTTTGGTGGTACGGGTATGTTGCCTCCTGCGACCCCTACCAATTACCTAGTATGGTGTGGAATCGGCATTTTTTTTAACTACTTTATCAAGAAAAGATTCTATTATTGGTGGGCAAAGTACAACTTCAACTTGTCCGCTGCCCTTGATACGGGTATGGAACTGGCCCTCATCGTCATCTTTTTCTGCCTACAACTTCCTAATGTAAGCTTTCCAAATTGGTGGGGCAATGTTGGTGCCTTTAATACAATGGATGCTTCTGGCACTGCTGTATTAAAGACGGTCAACGAAACTGCTGGTGAATTCTTTGGACCTACAAGTTGGTGATAATTGATATCATTTTGATTTCTCTTCTGTTTGTAAATGGTCACTTGTCTATTGAAAATTGCTAAATCTTACTCCTAATTTGTCTGTGGCCATTTTTCACTCTTAATCTCTGATCATAGTTTTGTACATCTATTTGCTTTGTGTTTAGATATATATATATATGTTTGTATATGATTGATTCTAACGTTTTATTTATAACATGTAACAAATTGAATAATAATAATTTTTTAATAGAAATACGTATACTGAAAGTCGTCTCAGCAAGCATATATTATTATTGTTATTTCAATTTCGCGTTACTGACTCAAACATCATATGAACATATTGGAGATATCCCATAACTACTTTCATTGATTCATTCGGTATATTTCTTCTAAGTTGGATGTTTACACCTAGAAATAAGAGAAACACGTTTTCAGTAGCAGAGCTTATTCTGACAGACTACCAACAAAGTGAAACATAATAGAACATCGAAGTGTGTACCGTTGCTAAATGAAATATTCTAATACTACTGTATGCACCAGATAATATTTTGCTCCCAAAACAAAATATTTTAAAGCAGAGGGTTCAAGCATGTAGGTCTAAAACTTGATTTTTATAACAGGAAGTTACTGAGTGGTCATAAGCTAAGTTGAAAAGATTGAGCTGAAAACAGACGGGCAGGCTATATGTACATACTTCATCCAAAAACAAAGCAATAATCTTTGACCCGATTTCCCTTTCAAATATACTCGTTGTATGTAGAATTTAAGACTCAGTGTCACCATGACACTATTTTTGACGAATAGTCCGCCAGAAAATGATTTTAATATTTTTATTCATATACTCTTCCAAAATCTATCTTCTTTCGATAAATCCAAGACATCACAGTAAAACATCCTCTATTTTTTTTTTCTTTAATAAGACAGTGAAACATTAAAAATTAACAAAAACAATGAATCCATCAACTTGATAGTTCAATTATTACCATACATAAAGAAGTCGACCATTCGAAAACATTCATAAAACATAGTAGGCACTGTTGCGTGCGTCAAGTTAAAATTATCGATAAGGTCTAAGAACGAGTACATACAGCGATACTTCAGCAAAGATTAGGATGAACTGAAAAACAACGAGCTTTTATTTTCGAGAACCGTTCCATTCAAACATTAATAATTAAAACAAACCATGACTAAAAAAGTCATTTCAACTAGGGAATGCCCTTTCTACGGCATTGCTTTCCTTTTTTTTGAAACCCACATCTACCAACTAAGGTATAGATTTCTCATCAAAGATAAACAGTATGAATTAATAGCCTAAATTAATTCGTTGAGACATATCACCATTTCCGATGATTGTGGTAGCGACTGCTGCAGAGTTACCTTTTGCAACAGGACAATCTTTATGAGCAATCAAAAGTGTTTTCAAACTGACAATCTCTTCTCTGAGAGCACTAACCTGTGCACTCAAGATTTCATTTTCATTGCCATAAAATTCAACCTTCGCTTGAAGATTGGATAGCCATTGTTTTTTGCGTTGACGGCATTTAAGCGCAGCCTGACGATTGCGTTCCAAAAAGCTTTTCCGCTTTTCATCATCAGTTTCATTTTTAGAGTTTCGGCGAGGTGTCGAACCACTCTTACTATTGTTACTTTCACCGTTAAAATCAGTACTGTCAAGGTCTTTCATGTCAGCTTCGCTGGGAGATGCTGAAGGAGACACATTAGAGTGACCGGACATAGCACGTGGTTGAGAATCTTGACGTTCATTAACTTCGGACTTAACTTGAACCGGCATACCGTTGCTGGGCATCTCTCTGTTACCACCCTGTCCAATGTGAGACATGTTATTCATGTTCATACCATAGTTGTTGGATGGACGTAAGTTTAGAGAAGGGTCAGCAGGGTTAACCGTCTCACCGTACACAGAAGGCTGCATGTCACCACGCAACTGGTTGGCATTCATATAATAAGGTGATTGGCCCATATTTTGGGCTTCCAAAGAATTATTGGCATTGTGTGTAAAAGAAGGACGGATAGAATCAGGATATTGCTGAGATTGAGACTGTTTCAGCAAATTCGCAACAGCAGCTGATGTCGAAGGGTCCGTTTCATTTGGAACGGATGGCTGCATTTTTTGCTGTTCAGGCACTTGAGAAAGTAGACAAAGACCATGAACGGCAGCATTGGCTCCAAAATAATCAGATTGTTCTCCATTAGTACCGGCAGAGACTGGAGGCTTGCCATCTCTTGGAGTGAAACGATACTGGTCAGGATACTGCGAATCAAAGGGTTGAAACCCTAAAAGATTAGCGGTTCCAGGAGAAGGAGCAGGAAAACTAGCACCTGTTGGGGTCAAAAGAGAGCGAAATGAATCGTTGCCTCCAGGGGTAAACCCAGTGCCAAAGGAAAACCTTGACCCCATAGCCATTGAGGGGTCGGAAGGAGTGTTGAGATAATCAGGGCGAAGAGTAGCATCATAGATAGCAGGAGAAAGAGGGTTTTGCATACCACCGCGAGTAAACCCAGACCATGCAGGGTAGGCAAGTGGTGAAGCAACACCAGGAGCACCCAAGATATCTGGAGAAGCGATGGAAGAGACGGGAGGGAGTAGGGTTCGGGAGAAAGAAGGAGGGATGGCGGAGGGAGCGGGACGACTGGTAGAGGGCCCAGGCTGTTGTTGGTTTACAGTAGCAGTGGATCCAAAAGAATGTTCAAAAGGATTAGGCTCGAAATCCAGCTTCAAAGAACCAACAAAAGAAGGAGTCACTCCTGCTGGCTGTTCAAGGGGATCAGCACCACCGTTAACGTTATTGGGTGGTGGTTGCTGAGATTGTTGCGTGGACGGAACATTTATGTTATTATCAACAGAAGGGTTATTATTCACGGCGGAAGTAGAATTAGGGTTTGGTGGGGCTTCGGAGGGGTTATAATTGTTAGACGCGTTATTAGGAGAAGGAGACATAATAAAGATAAATGAGTAAACTTTTAAACAGAAAAATTTAGATGAAAAGCAACAAAAATAAATAGATGAGTAATATTACAGATTGCTCAAAACCAATATGAGACGATAGATGTCAGTAGAAGAAGACCGAAAATTCCAATTCAATAACTGAATTCCAAAATTTGTAAAGTAAATAAGAAACGAACCGGTAAGGATGAAGAAAAAACGAATTAAACAAGGAAGCGAAAGAAAATTAGGCCAACTGGATAGGCTAAAAGTTAAAGTACTAGAAATTCCAATGAAAACCTAAACAAAAGTTGTTAGTAATCTAGACGGTAAAAGTCATAGTAAATTTGGCTCCTCCGCTCATAAAAGAAAAAAGAAAAAAAAAAAGGTTATTTTTCCTACTAAGATGCAAACCGGATACCGAGTCCTCGCATCAACCTTGCAAAGAAAAAAACATTATAGCGAATCAGCAAAGCCAAAAGAGACCTTGTTTTTTGTTTTTGCAAGGAAGAACAGGACAAAGCAACGTAAAGTCGGGAAAAATAAAACGAAAAAATTTTTTTTTTACTCTAGAAAATAAAAAGATTGAGTTTTGACAATACTCGATTGTTTTCAGAAACGTTGTTCAAATTGAAACGTTTCACTTTTTCCCCTCTTTTTTTTCTTTTTTACAATCATGTAAGAGGGCACACGTTAGTTCAACCTTCTTTGTCTCCCTTAATGACGAAAACTTGAACCAACAGTATTCCTTACCTCAACTTAAGTAGGATTACTTTATTATCAAGTCAAATTATACTTAGTTTATGTCCGGGGTGGAGTGCCAAGGTCTTCGTCATGAACTGATGAATTCGTAATTCAGATGTACTTAAGCGACGGGCACTATATAAAAATGATGAAAAAACTCGGTCAACGCTCAAAAACTAAAAGACTCAAAGACTCGTCAATTTTGTTCAGACAAATCGTTCATAAATAGTTTCAATGGGCCTTCCTTTACTTTTTCTTCTCGGATCCTTTAATGCTCAAGTGTATAGTAGATGGCAAGTTTCAAATTCAGCGATACAGGAATTCAGACTCAGTAAATTCTATATACGTCATGCGTCACTTCCATATGATGCATGAACCAATGAAATGTGAGTTTTTGCTTTAGGTACCGATTCGATTAAGGTCTCGAAGGTAGCATAGCAAACGTTCAATAGTGTTCGTTTGGCAAACGTTAAAGAAGGAAAACGAGCTCTTGCACGTTACAGTGACGAAAGAGAGGACGTAAGCAGGTAAGGTAAGGTAAGAAAAATGAAGACGGTATGGTACTGTAAATGTAAACAATGAACGAACACGAAGGAACTTTGAAAACAATGAACCAATTAATAAAAAAAATTCTTAGATATGTAAGTAAAAAAGCATTGGGATTATAATGATTTACTCGTCTTCAATTGAATTCTGTATTGCTTGCTACTTCATAATCTGGAAATAGTACAATAAATGTTTTTACTTACATCAATGAATGACTTGAGCAAACGCGTTTTTTAACCAGGTTTCTTTTTGTCCGGTTTATTCTTTTATTAATTGATTTATTTTTCTTTTATATATATGGAAGTCTTTTCTACTTCATTTTTTTATTTTGTCGGTTTTTTATACTTCTCAGTTGTTTTATTTACAAATTACTGCAACGCGCTCTACTACTTTGATTCTACCAGCCATTTTTTCTCCTAGTTAGACAAAGGCTCCTTGCAGTAGTCGCTAAAAGAGGTTCATTTTTCTTTCTTTTTACTTTACTGAAGAAGCATCATCACAGGTCTCTTACATACAGATTCGGCGTTGAACACGATGTCCAAAAAAAACGAACTGGGGACCCTGATTGTACGGGTTGCAAACGCGGTAAGTATTATGTTGTATTGGTTTGCTCAGCTGTGTTTTACTTTACTTTACTTTACTTTGCTTTGTTTTGGATGATTTGATTTTTTCTTGTTCTCTTACTGACCAACTCAATCTAGAAAAATTTGCCCAACAAAGCCCTCGTCGGTAAACAAAGCCCTTACTGTAGCTGCCGTGTCGGAGCAATCGTAAAACGTACTCACACAGATAAACGGAGTGGACAAGCTCCTTCTTGGAATGCTGTCTTGGAATTTCCTATACCAAGCGAAAGTTACAATGTCATGAAAGTGTATGTGTACCATGAAGGATTCCGAAAGCACTCTCATTTAATTGGGGATACCGTACTTTCGTTTCAAAAAGCTCTCCAGGAAGGTGACCAAAGCCAGTGGTACGAGTTAAAAAACGACTTTCAGTTTGCTGGCGAAATCTCTGTTCAATTCAAGTTTCTTCCTTCCGACCCCGATTACTTTAAATTTGTCAATCCTTCGTCTACTTCTCTTCCTTTCCCCCAATTCAGTGTAGCCACCTTGGCTTCGTTGCCTGCTTCTTCCTCCAGACCTTCCAGCTCAACTGAAAACACTCAAAGGAAGGGCAAAGCACACCACCCTCTTCCCACTCCCCCGGTCATTATTTCCAAGGACTATAGCACATTCCCAGAAGATCGATCGTCCCTTTCACACCAAGCAAATGATTTACCTTCCTTCCCATCTCCCTCCATGGTTGACGAATACTATTACTACCACGATGACATTCCGGAATCCATTGACGAGTTCCCAAATGCCGAATCCTCGATATATCCTCATTCCAATCTTCCACCCATCCCCATCGACCAAGAGGATTTTGATTATTACCACCCTCTTCCTCCTGTTCCCCCTCCGCATGCATCTTACCAGGACTCGTTTCCCTCCTCGTCTTACAACCACTAAAAGCCTATTTTCTTACCTTTACTGTAACTACTATTTATCAATTCTTGCATTTCATTAGCTCTTCGGATTTTTCGTTTGGCTTTTTGGTTTTTTGGGTTCTTATTCTTTTCTCTTTCATTTTCTCACCCCCCACGATACAAACCACATTAGATTTCTCTTTCTTTTTTTTATACATCGTTTTTTTGATTACATTCCTTTTGTTCAATAACTCACCACTAGCGTTCCTTTTCTTTCTTTTCATTATCCTATGTCTCTGAAACTTACAAAGCATAGAAAATTGCTACAAACCAATCCTTTGTTGTTCTTTCTTACTCATGCATCTACACTCGCATTAGTGAAAATATCACGCGTCATCTCAAAACCAAAACATTCATTACTTTTACGTTTACTCTCAAAAACAAATTCCAAAAAGGGACATAAATATTTAAAATCATTAAACAAAGGAAAAAAAAATACATAAGCTTCTTTAACTCTTTTCTTTTTTTTAGTTAGACAGGGCAGTATTCATCTTTTTTCAATGGCTACGCCACTCCAACAAAAAGGGGTTTTCTCTATTTTACTTCTTTTTTGGGCCACCCAAAGGAGCACCGATATTTTGGCCACGCAATTTGATGCCCAAAGCTCGCTCCATCTTGGTTAAAACTTGTTGGTTAGGAATAGCACGTCCACCTTCGTAGTCGTTGACGACTTGAGGCTTTTCGTTGATTCTTTGAGCCAAATCCTTTTGAGCCCAACCCTTCGTTTGACGTCCCTGTTGAAGAGCTTGAGCGACAGAACGGTTGGTAGTAGATGGAGGCTTGACCTCGTTTTCACGATCTATCTTCGTCAAGTGTTGTCCAGCAGGATCTTGGGCACGATTGCCGGTGGCATATTTCTTTTCAGTGCCAACGACGGCTCCGGCACGACGAGCACTATTGATTTGAGATTGTGTCTTGGCAACGTGGGTGCGAGCACCAGGTCCGGCGCGACTACCAATCTTTGTAACGTTATCCCAGGATTCAGACATAATTTAAAAGACCTTTTTCTAAGATGAGTTGGTAAACGGAAGTTCTGAATTTGCGTTCGCCCATATATATATTGACACTACAACGTAAGAATGTGCTAGAAGCTTTAGATAAGGAACTTTGCAATCAACCGTAAAAGTGTTTTAGCGAGTAATTTGGCTTTCACTGCGGTGTGTAATATACATATAACGATTATAACACAACGTTATAATAGAATGGTTAGGAAACTTTGTTAAGCTTCACTATACTTTTTCCTGCTTCTATGCAATGTCTTCTATGATAGTATATTGACGTCAAGCAATTTTATTTCCTCACATACAACACACGCTGGCTTGAGAAGGGTCCCTTGGAACGTTTCAAAAACAACGATCTACACCAATTTTTTGAACTTACATTTGCTAGATTTTAAGTGCTTTTGATTGCTTCCGAATTTTCCGGAAAACGCTACGAAACGTCTGATTATCACGTGTTTTTACCTACGTTTGTGGATTCTTCATTTTCTTGTTACAGAATTCTTCTTCGTGGAAAAGCCTTTTTGTGCCGCAGTCTGCTGAGGTTTCGTCAAATTCATTTTCTGGGAGTTTCGAATCAATGCTGGCGAGGTTTTCATCTATTTAATTGAAAATACTTTCTTTGCTCTCTAGTCTTTTCTTAATTTGTTGTATCTGTCTGCTTTTATTTTTATTTTTATTTTTTTTGGATAAAACGTTGGTTGAAGAAATCCTTTTCCCCTTCTCCTCCTCACTCCGTTTACATAGCATTCAATCCTTCCTCAATCAGCAAAGCTGAGCTGTAAATACCTGCCCTTGCTCGTGTAGCTGAATCTAAAATTCAGCTTTTGGTTTTCGTTCCTGACAGAACAGCCCAAGTAAACTTCAAGGAATTGTTATTTTTTTTACGTATTCATAGCTGCTTCCGAAGTTTCTGCCTGGTCCCATTGATCTGCTAGTTTTTTGTTTCGTATTTTGATTGAAAAAACATACTTCATTTTTCATTTCTTCTCTACACCCATTCTTATTCCCGTTTCACATACACAATAGCTTTGTTGTTCTTTCCGTACTAAAAGCTCAAAATATGTACGATTCTCACCAAGAAGAGAAGTTACAGGCACTTCTAGCCGTCATCCGTGGCTTAAACTATATTTTGGACGATAAAATGGACGAAGCTATCAAAATCTTCAATTCTGGTAATACCTCCTTCCATCTGAGCGGTCAAGCTGTTGTCTCTTTTCTTCAAGCTGTATTGACGTTTGAGCCTTCTCGGTTTGGAGAGTCTCAAAACAAAATTGATATAGCAATTAAAGCACTCACAGAAGACAAGGATTATGCATCGAAAAATGATCTTTACCTTTGTACTTTTGATCCCGGAATTGAGTATCGTGTATCCATCGGCCTTATGCTGTTGTTGTCCGCTCTCATTGGTTTTTGCTCAGAGTCGATTGTAACAAGTGTAAAATCAGTATACAAGCTTCGCAAAGCCCACAACATCTTCAACAAAATAAACAAGCGACACTTTGAAGCCTTTTCTACGTCTTTTCAAACTACGAATAATAAAGATATCGATACGGTGAATGAGTACGTACAGACGGGAACTCTCTTGTGTACGGGTTTATTTACACTCTTAATATCTTTACTTCCTCCAAAAATGATTACTATTCTGAGCTTACTAGGTTACAAGGGAGACAGAGATATGGCTCTCTCATATATGTGGATGTCTGCTCTCCAGCGACCTTCCAGCTTTTTTGCTGCAGTAGCATTTGCAGCACTTATTCAATATTATAGTGGAGCTGTGCAGTTGTGCAGCATTTATAAAGTCACTCCAACCGAGCCTGATGGATGGCCTGTTCAACGCTGCTTTGATATTCTTTCCAAAATCAGAGTAACTCATCCTGAAGGCCCGATGTGGCCTTTGCACGAAGCAAAACTGCTTTCCATGGTAAAAAAACAGTCGGAAGCGATTGATGTTTTGAATGATCTTATGTCAAAGCCTCCCCCTAAACTTATGCAATTGGAAGTCTTGATTGTATTTGAACATGCTCTTGATTGCGCCTTTTCTCATCGTTATGTTGATAGTGCCCATAGTTTTTTGAAGTTGTCTAGCCTGAATGATTCTAGTACGGGGTTATACTCTTATTTCGCTGCTGCTTGCTTTTTGCAAGATGTCCAGGCGAATGCTAATGTTGAGGCTTTAGAGAACGCATCTAAGCTACTTGAACCATTGGGCAATCTTTTAGTAGATAAGACTGCTCCTTTGGATATACATATCCGAAGAAAAGTGAAAAAGCTAGCCGACCGAAGAGCTAGTGTTGGCAATCAAGGCGGATTGGCCGAATATGTGGGATTTTCTCCTTTGTACCAGTTGGTCTATGTTTGGAACGGTTTTCGAAGGATGAATGCGGAGGAACTATCTCGATTCGATGTAGAAAGAGTACAGCCTTGGCAGGATCAAGACGATGATATTTGTCAAGCTTTAGTAAAAGCTACTTTATGGAGGAATACAGGGAAACTTGATGAAAGTATAAAAGTTCTTCAAAAAATTTGTCAGGTTACAAAAACTACTGAATGCTGGGCTGTCGCTTTTGCCCACTATGAAATGGCGGTTGCCCTTTTCGAAACTGATAGTACATCTAAAAACTCCTTGAAAGAATGTGATAGTTACTTAAAGGCTGCCCGTGATTTTGGAGGGGATAATGAATTTGAAAGTCGATTAATCATTCGCGTCCAATTAGCAAGACATGTCGTAAGACAATGCCTTCAAGAAGGCGGCTAATGAGTTCGATTATTTCCATGAGTTTAAATTATTCTACATAAATATTAAAGATAAAAAGGCACTAGTTTTTTTTGTTGTATAGACGTTTAGTTAATAACAATTCACGAATTAAAGCGAATGAAGGTAGTAAAGTTTAAGTGTTATACATACATACATACTAATACGCATATATAGAGATAAATGTCCCAAAACCATTATATTTTATTAAATCCGTTTCCTTCCAAAAACCCAAGATCATGATCTCTTTTGTTTTTTAGTCTTTCTTTCATCCTTCTTTTCTTCCTTGTCGTTTAACTGCTCCATATTGCGCCAAATTTCTTCTTCCTCTTCTTTCGCAACGCGACTTTCTTCTTCTTCTTTGATGACTTCTTCATCACGGCCATCGAGAAGCAAAATGCTAGTAGGCATTACTTTTACGTATGCATTAGCCACAGGCTTTCGATGAACATCGTAAATTCGAAGATGTCTGTCGAGACCAACAATAGCAATCAGGTCTCCAAGATTATGGAGACAAGAAGCTGAGCCTTTTATACCTTGAAAACGGCCCACAACCTTCTTCTTTATAGGATCGAATACATAGACTTGAGCGCGTTTATCTGCAAAATACAGCATGTTTATGGAAGGTAAAAGCCCAATACGAGTGAGTTCAGAGGTGGAGATGTCAGTACTAAAGATTGGTCGACGAGCCTGTTTCGTATAATAAAACCTCAACTTGAAAAGAATTAATAATTAAGATTCAAACAGAATTAAGTAAAAACATACCTGCCCATAATGAGTGATAGTAGCAAAATGAAAAGCTGGAGGAGAATCGTCTTCATCTTTCCCGTCGATGACATTAAGGACTTCTTCCGTAAAAACAATGCCTGTGACCCACACACGGACTCGCAAATCTAAGGCATCATTCTTTACATTTTTCGCTTGAAAAACACGGACAACCTGGTCTTGATTCCATAGTGTCGACAAATCAATGGACGAGGAGCAACTAGCATTGCAGGAATATATAGAAACATCGTTTTCTTCTCCTCCAATGGCAACGACACCAGCAATTCGAGGATGCAAGGTAGCACAAGACAACGGGGAAGCGACTTGGATCTTTTTTACTTGACCTAACTCTGGATTTCGGAACACGATTGTTCCATTACTGAAAGCAATCATAAGCCATCCATGAGCGTATTGAAATGAAATAATAGACGCATTATCTAAAAGTTTTTCATCCAATTGCCATAGACTGTCTAAAGCAGGAGGCTCCTTCTTTATGTCCCAGCATTCAATAGCTGCACTTTTACGAAGTACATAGACAAACTAATAAGGTTAGTATAGCGCTAAAAAGAATGCAAAATTGTAAGATTTCTAAAGGAAAACTGTACATGCTATGCTACACATAGCACAAATTTGCTTAATCCCAGAAAAATTACCGAAACAAAAGGTTTGCAATACATTTTCGTTCTGGCAGAAGAATAAAATTCCCTTCTGTTTATCTAATTTCCCAAAGCGTTGAATAGTAGGAGCTTCAGAACTTGGATTAGAAGCATCAATTCCCCTTTTTATTTCAATTACTAGAAACCACAACTGTCAGCTTGATATCCATAAAAAACGTTTCATACTTACATTTTAATTGACCTAATTCATCTCCACAAAGCAATTTCATGGTGATTTCCCCTAGTAAAATCAATTTCTCGAAAGAAGAAGATGTGTGCTGTGGGATTGCAGAACAACAAACATGTTTTGCATAGATCACTATGTCAAGACGTCCAAAAGTAAAGGAAAAAGAGTTTAGTAACACGGAGTATAGAAATAAAATTGTTGTGTTTTGGAATCAGCTTTCAAATAGATTTTGTTGAAAAAAATCAAATCGAACAAAACTTAGCTTTTTGGCTCAATACCATCGTTTATACAGGGCACCCTTTTTTTCCAAAAGGAGAGAAGAAAATATGAAGCGTTTATGAACTCACCGTACATACTTACGAAATTGGTCTCTCTGGCATAGGACTTGAATAGAATCAGTGCTTTGATTCATGTCGTGGAAGGAAACCCCAGATCATGTACTTGTCTCTCATACAATTTCGATTACCAAGGTAAAAGGAGTTCGCGAGCCTTACATTTGCAGAGAAAAGGTGTTTTCAAGCCTGTTCATTGAAATCAATATATAGGTCCAAAACGACCAATTCCTAGTGCACCTTTCTTTTGCTTTGAATAGAAAAAAGTTCTCCTTCCAAAACCTTTTTAAGCCTTTCTTCAAGAGCAGAGTGAATTAAATCAATGGGGGTTTGTATACAATCGTTGCCCAAGCTTGCGAAAATTTAAGTCAAAAGTATCGAAAAATAAAAAGATGAATTAAAAGATATTGAAACCTTACAATAAGCACTACAATTTCTCCAGTTTATGCTAGGATTCAGTCCTGTTCGAAAGGCTTGCCCTTCACACGCAACTTGAAAACAACAAGTGTTCTCGCTTTTCGTGATCCTAAAAATGCTTTGGCTAGACCAATATCGCCCTAAAACACTTTCATCTTTAGACTATCATCATCAGTTATCCGAGCGACTAATTTCTCTGGCAGCTACAAATGAATTCCCACATTTATTAATTTACGGGCCAAGTGGAGCAGGAAAGAAGACGAGAACAGTTGCTATTTTACGAGAGCTGTACGGCCCTGGCGCTGAAAAAGTAAGTTCATTCAGGCTTGTTGCAATACCTAATATTGTGCTAACACTTGGATCTAGTTAAAAATCGATCAACGAACGTTTCTCACCCCAAGTAACCGTAAAATCCAAATCAATATAGTTTCAAGTTTGCACCACATAGAGATTACGCCTAGTGATGTTGGAAATTATGATCGAGTGGTTATGCAGGAGTTGTTAAAGGACATTGCCCAGTCTGCACAGGTTGATTTGCAAGCTAGAAAGAAGTTTAAAGGTAAACGAATCATTACAGAGTCTTATAATGGTAAGCTAACATAAGACAGTGGTGGTTATCAACGTCGCCGATGAATTAACAAGAGATGCTCAAGCTGCTCTTCGTCGGACTATGGAGAAATATTCAAACAATATTAGGCTAATACTTATTGCTAACTCAACATCTAAAATCATTGAACCCATTCGCTCTCGTACATTAATGGTCCGTATCGCAGCGCCTTCTGAGTCGGACATTATGAAAGTCATGTCCCAAATCCTAGCCGTTCAAGAATTAGAAGCACCGACTTCTCTTCTCGAAAAGATTGCTAATAACTGCAGTCGTAATCTCAGAAAAGCTATTTTATTATTAGAAACTGTTCATGCAAAGTCACCTCATAATCGACAGTTGACAGATAATGGGTCTCAGCTACCGTTACCGGATTGGCAAACTTTTATCATTCAAGTGGGAACTTCTATGCTTCAGGAACAATCGCCTGCTCGAATTTTGGTAGTTCGTTCTATGCTATACGATCTTCTCTCTCATTGTATTCCACCAACCATCATTTTCAAGGAGCTCCTTGGCTTTCTTTTACTAAAGGTGGATGCTAAATTGCATCCCCTTCTTATTCAGTCTGTTGCAAATTACGAACACCGAGCTCAAATGGGAAATAAGTCGATCTTTCACTTGGAGGCATTTGTTGCTTACTTTATGAAAATTTATACCATGTAAGTGTTTGTTGGTTCAAAGCTGATTAAAGGCTGGTAAAAGAAAGATGAGATGAATACTAACATAGAACAGGTCGCTTCTGGGAATGGAGCTTCCTTATCCATAAAGGGGTTCCTTTTTGCTTTGTATATATCTATTATAGTTACTATAAAATAATTAGGAACAAAATGTCAACGCCAGTCATTGTTTTGAACTTGAAGCCCTGGTGATTTTTTCTATTTTACATTTTCAATTTCGAAAAGTATACTTAACATGTGTTCATGATAGCACTTTTCTTTTTGAATGATTTTACCTAAAAAGGCACCATCTATTTATATCACTATTGTCCTGTCAATACTATCTGAATGTAATACAGCTAGCGTTTGAATAAAACACGTAATGAATGCGGATAACAACATGCTCAAATGAAATGAATCAAATCAAACAGAAAAGTGAATATTAGATTCAACCAACTTTCAGTAAGAAACCGACTCCTTTGAAAGGAGGGAAATGGAATTAATTTGGTATGAATGCGGCAATATGCCCAAGAAAAGGAATGAAAAGGCCACGGAAAAAACACAAACTGTTTAAAAAGCTTACTCTTGATTGAAAAAAGAGCGGATACTGTCAGCTAAAAAGACCATAACGACAGTTTGGTAAGCACCAAGGCCCATTCTAGGAATAACACCCCTATACAAGCCCTTAATTCCGTTGTTTTTGTAAATGGAGCTGACAGTAGAGATGATACCTCGAGAGGTATTTTGAGGACCATTGCTTAAGCTCTGCATTTCTACACGAGCCACTTCGATGGGCTGGTTCCAACAACTTAGCGCTCCGCCTGCAATGCTAGCAAATAATCGCTGTCCCGAGGTTAAAGGATCAGAATCTCTGCTTCCTGACAAATAACGGATAGGTCGTTCGAAAAAGCGAGAAAGAGCAAAGCGACTTCCCCAGTTCGTCATTTGACGAAGGGCAACGGCATTCACTCCTCGATTAACACCACGGATGCCCTTTTCCTTGTACAAGTCGGTAAAGACGCGGAATGTACTAGGGACATTTACTCCGCTGGCAGCTTGCTTTGCACGAGTCACCTCAGCGGTTTTCATGCAAGTACAAAGACCCATTGTAGCATAAGCTTGGGCAATACCACCACCCATGCCTGCTAAGGCACCGGCTACAGTTGACGAGAACCCAGCACAACGTCCCCAATACTCCAACTCAGCGGAGGTGAAAAGAAGCACGGCTCCCTTAGTAGAAGCCTCGATCCAAGCCCAAGGTATTAAACCCTGATAAAATCCGAAGATACCACCGCGAGAAAGAATGGATTTCAGGACTTGCTGCATGCTTTGGGTACGGTTGGCTGCCATTTGGACCTGCTTTGTTAACCAATGAAACTTGAACAGCAAGAGAAACCACGAAAAGATTAGAAGAAAAAAAAAAGAAAGAAAATAGCTGATCACTTCAACAACCTTGAATATCTCTTTCGCAAGTCATTGAAAGCCACTTGGAGGGAACTCGGGAAGAAAGCAAATCGACAAAACGTGATCTGGTTCGGTATAGTCCAGTATGTTCCGATAATGTTTGGTTTCTTTTCCTTTCTTTTTCCAAGTCTTGTTTGCGAACACTCTAAATCCAACACTTACCTTGGTAACTTCCAACGGATGACCCAAAGAAGAGGCTCTAAAAACTTGTTTAGCAAAAAGTTCCAATTCAAAAATACACCAGGGAATCCTTCCAAAACCTAACGAAAAAACCAAAGAAAACCAAAACAATAAGAATGTATCCTTCACATAATACCATCCTTCACTAAACAAACGATATTCAAAACGATATTTAAAACATACTCAAACAAGTTTAGGCCTGCGCCTAAGAGCAAATTCGCAGCAGAAGTTTGTTTCTTTTTTATTTCACTCATATTTGCATAATGAGCAGAAACACAGCTCAATTCAATTGACGATTTGTATAATCAACTAAACGCGTCTACTTCTACTTAGACTAAGAAAACGTCTATTACCAACGTAAATGACCCTTAATTGTCGCTTTTCATAGAAAACCTCTATCCTAGAGGAATAGTTGAGTTGGGTTGTTTCTAGGTTCTTACAAAGCCATATATATATATATAAATATGTGTGTGTAAATATATATAAGGCGAACGAGAAATAAAGTTCATACGATAACGGTCTGATAATAACCTTCTTGTAACCAATAACGTTATTGTAGCTAATATAAAGCCAAGAGATTGTAAGAGCAATTACAACTGTATTCCACTTACACTCTTATTACTATACGGAGTATTTCCCGTGACAGATATAAATACTTATGTAAACAAAGAATAGTATCAATAGAGACAATCAAATAGTGTAAACGAGACTCTGGAAGGCTCTTTTTCAAAGCGATTGGCAAAAGAAATATTAAGGGTAAACGGAGCTAATGTAGATCGGATCAAACGGGTTCTTTTGATTGTTCATTGTTTTTATCTTTAAATGAAAAAAGAAAAAAAGGAAAAAGAGGAACATTCATCTCAAATGTGGTTAAATTATTATTGGTAAAGCTATTGCTACTAGGTGGCTACGCTGTTATTTACATACACTTAAAACGAAAGTCATGGATGAATATGAGTTGGATGATGAAGGTTGCAAATTAATAAATTGGGATTTCTCTTTTCTATAATGCTAAAATTTGACATAAAATCTTCGTCGATACCTAGAGCTTCTTCCATCGATTCACTGAAGGTGATTTCATTAAAAGTTGGAAAGCGACGGACTTGCTTTCGAGGAAATCGAATCGAGACACAATGTTATAGACGAAGAAAGAAAAGAGAGTCATCTTAAAGAAAGACGCAGCAAAGAAAACACAACTAACAAAGATGGAAACGGGAACATGAAACAAATAAATAAAAAACCAAAGCAGTTCTGAAGAGAAGCAAAAGTAAATGAATTAATAGAAAAAAAAAAAAGATCATTTCTGCTCCTTTCTCTCTTCTTTTTTTTAATAATTTTTCTTTTTCTTTTTTTATTTTCCTTTCTTTCTACACGCTCTTTCGATGTATGATCATTGAACAGACCTTCTTCTCCATAGCGTTACTGGGTTTGAACAAAGACCCAGAAAGAAAAATAAAACACATTCAGTACAAAGACAGTTCAAATCGTATCACTTTTTCTTTTTGGCTCCACGGAGCTAGTTATTCATGAATAACTTTTTTGTTTTGTTATACACAGATACAGTGTACATCTATTGGTGAAATGGTCAAAGTAGATGGGGTTCACACTTCTTATCCATTCTAATGCATGCAAATGTTAAATTTTCAGAGCAGGTAATGACTCTGTGGTCCAAGGACGCTCCGGACGAGGAGCTTTAAATACACCTGATTGAGGTGAATAGCTAGGTAACTTGGTAATATGCGAGTCGTCTTGATGAGAGGAATTTTCACATCGACTAAGCTCCATAGGGAAATTACGGGAGGAGAATTGGATGGGTGCGGAATTAGGTTCCTTGGAGAATACAGAGGTAGGAGTCAAAGGAGAATTGGAAATCAGAGGGACGACACTGTCGAGGCGAGGGAACCTGTGTGACAAATTCTTTTCCGACAAAGGAGAGCTTGTACCACTGAAGACGTCAGTAGAAACTCTGCTAGAGGGTTGAGACTCCAAGTCAAGTGCCTTTTCTTCGAACACTTTTGCTTTTTTAGTATCTTGAGGCGATACCTTTTTGCTTCGATCATACAAATACAGACCGACCGCTGTCAAAGCGATACCCATGGCTTGAGTAAAGCTCGTGGGCTGCCGAAACCACAAAATAGAAACGACAATTACAAAAATACGCTTAATAAGACTGGCGATGGAGTAGGCAACCGGTGAAATGATACTTAAAAGCGTAAAGGCAAGAATGTTTTGGAAAAAATGGGACAATCCGTTATGAATGATATTGAAGAAGATAGGCGATCCAACAACTGGAAGGTACTCGAATCCTTCTTGATGAAGCCAAACCGGAATCATCACGATAAATGCCATACCGGATGAGTAGAGCAAAAGATTCAGTTTGTTGTAGTGGCTCTTTCTAGAAAGATTGCCATGCTTTTTTGCTTCCGTGAAGATTTTCTTACCAAAAATATTTTGAGAAACAAAAATAAAAGTAGAAATCAGAGCGTAAAACAATCCGCACAAGTCTACAGAAAGCTCAAAGGAACAGGCCAGAGTTACGCCTAGAGTAAGCGGAACAAGAGAAAAATAGGCCGTTAAGGAATATGCATGCTGAAAGAGAAATCGATATGCCAAAACTGTGAAAAGAGGAGAAAGAGCCTTGACAGTATGCACCGTAGAAACTGGAATCTTTGTTGTTGCTAAACTGCCAAAGACGTGTCCTCCAATCTGAAAAACGCTCAATGGTAGCGTTGTCGAGAGTACTAATTTTGAAGGCCTTTGAATTCCATTGCCATTGCCAAAAAATTGCCGAATGAGGAGACAAACTGCGCTAAAAAAAGCAACGAAACCGAATTGCAGAAAAGTTAATGTGACAGGACATGAAACATTGTTGAAAATGCTTTTTGAACTTGTATTTCTAGCCCACGTTAGTAACAACTCTAGTCAAACTTCAATCTCCCGTCTTCAACCAGCTGTCGCTCCAAAACATACGTTACCGCACTACACAGATACCATAGCAGACAGAGGAATACGAATCCAATCTTTTCATGGAATAAAACCTGTTCGACTTTCTCCTTTAAAGACATAGATCCATACACTTCATAAATGGTATGACGGATTCAGGAGTTTTTAGAAGCAAAAGAGCTTATTTAACAATATATTAATGGAAAGAAAAAACTCTTCTGCAAAAATTTCACTTGCTCTTGCTGCAATGAACAATCTTGGCTTTTGGATAGTTGCGAGTGGCTGATGTCAACAAATAGTGAGACACGCAGTGATGCTCAATAAATCCAGTCAAAAATTGTAGAAAAATAAAAATAAAAATAAATCGTCGTTGGAATTCAATTCAGGTTTTAAATGGAAGCATAAAGTCTGTTTTGGTAGTTTTTCTCCATGCTGGATTTTCAACTATTGTAAACGTTACTTAAGATTATCAACTGGTTGCTTAGTTGCATATGTTTATTGGTCATTGTGATTTTATAACCATGTCATGAAAGAGTCATCAAATATTCATTAACAGTTCCATTCGTTTGTGAATATTTGATATCACGCATGTTTTCATCTATAGACTCCAGTTCAGTTCCCATGCTCATTGCAGAAAATCAAAAAAAAAATAAATGCGACAGCATGCATCGTCTAACCATTGTAAACATCCTGAGTTGTAGCCCTAGAACAGTTTATGCGAGGCGTGTTTGTTTGTTTTTTTAGACAACTTTTTCATTTTTCTTTCAAGAATACAGTAAATAAAAGCTGATAAAGGAAATCCAATAATTTAAAAATGGTAAAACGAAGCGATTAAATCAACAAGAAAAGTCACATTCATAAAAGAAAGCAAAAACCGAAAAAGAAGCTCGTCAATGATGATCCTTGTAAACAATGAAACGCTTAGTAATTTCATTAGAGTAGCAGAGCAGTACTAACTTTTGAAGCCACAAAAGGAAAACCACTTTTTTGAAGGTTATTCCAAATGAACGAGAAACTTTTCTCTACATCTACAATTACGTTGTCTTCTTGGTCACTTCTGATTCCTGCTGCTGCTGAGTAACCTCCATGGATCGAGCATGCTCGCTCAATTTGGGAAGGACAAAAACCATAACGACGGATGCTAATGACAACAACATCATTGGGCTTTTCAGTAGACGAATCAAAGAGAATTTTCTGGGTTCCTGTAAGTATTCATGCTTCTGCACCGCGCGGACAGTGATGGGGTGCGATATACTTTTCATGGCGGACGTAGAGGGTCTCTCTTCTCCAGTCGTCGTGTAATAAGGATAAACCCGAGACCCGTTTACGATGATATGAAATTGAGCAAAGTCATATTCAATGGTTTCAAAGCGCAAGAGATATGTTCCATTCTCCACGTTCGTAAAGCTGAATTGTCCATTCCGTTGAACTGGGTAATCTCTGATAAGCTCCTTAGAAATTAGTTTTGCATGCGTATCATACGGCAGATCATTCAAGCTTCTCATAACCAGATTAGGAACAATTTTTCCCTGCACTTCTGCTTGCATCGACAATTGAATAAAGCAAACGAAGCATAACGCCAATGCAAGAAAAAGCCTCATCTTTTAAATTTAAGTAATTATTTATGTTATGACAATCCAGAAAGTCGATGTACCGTCAAGATTCTATCGCGTTTTGAACCTAAGTAAAATACAACTTAAACCAAGCAATCTATTGATTATTTAATTCCATACAATGCACGTAAATTTTCAAAATAAAAACCTACTTCTAGTTTAAAGAGGATGCAAACAGTAAATCTCAATGTCTTCTTCCATAGGACTACTTACACCTGCAATGCAGCCAATTCTAATTGCAACTTGCAACGTAATTCGGTATTTCCCACAGAATGCTAAGACGCGAGAAATGGCTCTGTGTTTGGTGATTCATTCTGAATAGGCATTTTAGGGCTTTTAAATTTCATCCTTCTCGCAGTTCTAAGGTTTTTTGATGAGTCGTACGTACGAAAGGCTAAACGCCCCTAGCGAAAATGAAGACGATGTATATCTGGAGAACGATGTCAGCAACATTGGAAGAAAACGATATAAAACAAAAGAAGAAGGTACGTTTATGAATCTGGTTCTATAAGTCATTGAACAATCATTTTAACGGTAATCAAAAGGATACTATGATTCGGACTCAGAAGAAGAGGTAGCGATGAAGAAGACAAAAAACGATGATGATGCCTCTGACATGTTCTCAGAGTCATCTGGTGATGAAGAAAAGGGAAATGCTGGTAAAAGAACTGAGGAGGAGGACCCTTCGGAACGACTTGCTCAAAAGGGTTTGTCTTCTCGCAATGAACTAGACGACGAGTTTGAAGAGGACGACGCAGAAGCCGAAGAGAAGTTAAGTTATGAGGATATCGAAGGTCAGGAAGAAGCGCCAGATGCACAAGATTCTGGCTCTTCAGAAGAAGAAATGACTTCGGGCAACCCAAAGGTCATACCGTTTAATTTAAAAGAGGATATGGAAGAAGGTGATTTTGATGAAAATGGGAATTTTGTACGGAAATCAAATGACCCTAGCGATCAGTATGATGCTTGGCTAAACGGCGATGTGTGTTCCAAAAGAAGCATTGCCGCTGCAAAGAGAGCGGAACTTACACGAAAACAACAAGCTCATCAAAAGATGCTTTCTGACATAGAGGAATCGAAACGGCTTCCTTTTCAAACTGTTCCAGAGGCGCTATCATTTCTTATTATACGAATGGAACCAGACGAAAATGTCTTGAGTTTTCTACAGAGACAAAGCGTAAGTAATTCTGCAGCATCTCGTTCAAAAAAACATAAAAAACCTTCGGAACATTTTTCACCAGAACGTCGGTCTGCCGATGAATATCGCAAAAGACTGATTGAAATAATAACGGGTTGTATCACGTTCCTAGAAGATAGAACAAAATTTGAAAGCTTGTATTCAGAAACAAAAGAGGCCTTGCAAAGGCTTTTTCAGCGAATCACCCATGAAGCTTGGAGGCCACCGGCTGTTGATATGGAAAAACCTTTGTTTTACTTTAAGTGGGAAGGCGATGAAAAGGTATATGGACCTTATTCTGGCTCTCAAATGCAGGCTTGGGATCATCTAGGATACTTCACAAATGCTAAACAAGCAGCTTTCGTTTCCACGTCCGCAGACGGCAACTGGATGTTTCCGCAAAACGTTTCCTACTTGAGTGAAAACTCAACCTGAAATTTTTATTTTTATTTTTGTTTCATGACTAGTCTTCTATAACACTTCAGCTATGTCCCTACAAAACGCATTTTGTTTTCATGAATTCATTTTGCAACAATGAGTTGATACAGATTCCCTATTCTATTAAATACATTTTTCATCATTCTCCAATCTTCTAAGTATAAAGTATATGAAAGAAAATTCAAAAAAAAAGAAACATTAACGGATTTAGTCTTCTTGCATGGCCGCGACATCTTCAGAAGCAGGGGCAGGCCATTCATTTTCAGCAACATAATTTTTTTCATACTCTTCCAAATACTTAACGCTTCGTTTTTGATCTAAGAAAAGTTCGTAAACACGCTTAATATCTAACTCCTCGATGGTAGCACTTTTGCGCTTGAGAGCAACTTGATTAGATGAGGAGATGAGAAGTAATGCATATCGTAGACTAGCTTCACGTCCAATAGATGCTAAATAATCCAAAGCTTCAGGTGCCATGTCAACGTCTTCCTCTTGGCAACGAATCCGCAAAATTTCCTTTACTTCCTCATGAGAGTAAGGTTGGGTCGAAATAATTAGCATTCTGTCTAGGTAATCGACAGGAATACCATGAGGAGAACGGTAGTTAGTGCCACGGATCCGGGTAATTCCTCGATTTGAGGCCATGATAACAATAGGAGCAAGTTCATCTTCCAAAGCACGGTTAAAAAATGAGAAGCATTCAATATCAAGCATATGAACTTCATCTACAAACAAAACGCCAGGAGAAATTTCGGCTTTTCCTTCTTCTCTCCATTCGCTAACTTTGGTGTTAATTTGTTCACGGACCTCTGGTTTAATCTCACCGGTATCACCAGCGAACAAAGCCAAAAATCCTTGAGTTCGAGAGTTAATGACATCAATATCATGCAGGGAAACAGTATGAACTATTTCCTTTCTCTTTTGGATTTCGCCTTGAGGGCATTGAACAAAACGAGTGTCCGCTCCCATAGCGTCGTAGTCGCGAGCCCTTGTGAATGAACGACCTAATTTAGTGACTTTACCCATAGACTTGTCAATCGTTACAACATCACCAGCCAAAACCTTGTCTTTTGTCAAAGCATCAATCATTTTTGTACCCAAATCATATACCGTTTCCATATCCGTAGTACGGATTGTAAGTTTACCTTGCTTATTTCCACCAGTTATCGAGCGATCAATTTGAATCTCTACGACTTCACCTTCAATTATCTCCGTTTCTTCTTTGATGCGAACGCCAATACTTTTCCGTAGTGCTTGCAGTAAAGCTTCAGTCTTTGACATTTCCAAGGAGTAAACTTCACTGGCAGAAAGAGAGACGAACGGAGTGTCTGAACCAAGAGTCTGAGACATAGCCATTGCGATAGCTGTCTTACCGGTTGATGGTGGTCCAGCCATTAGTATAGAGCGACCTGCAATTTTACCTTCTTGAATCATTCGAAGAATAACACCCGCAGCCCGACGAGCCTTCACCTGACCCACCATTCCATCACTCGATTCTTTGGGCTCCAGATTATCATTTAGGCCAATTCCTTTAATATGAGAATGAGCTCCTACTACAAACGAAAGGACGTTAGCATTCAACCTCTTTACTTGTGCGTTTACTGGTTCAAATTACAACCATATTCATGTTCATCTTTATAATTGACATGTCACTTACATCTCTCCAATTTAGAAGCTTCATTTTGAGGACTAACAGAAATCGACATTGCTACTGTTGTTTTTGGTTTTTTTGCGAACTGCCTGCGTTCAACTAAATTAATAAAAACTATATACCGAGGTTCAACGTGGCCCTGGACATTATTTACGCGTACGCTGTAATCTTTCATTTAATTAAAAGCATTTTATTTTTATAAATAAGTCAGCTGGATTACTTGGATAAATAATAATTTTGGAAAATATAGGAAATGATATAATTGAAAAAATAGGCAGACTACTTTTTTATTTTCAACAAAAAACAAAAATTCTCGAAGAAAACCAAGAGAAAAAGATGAAATTCAAACGAGCGACTTAATTTTTAATATACAGTATAAAGTACAAAAGATCTATAATAGATGTCAGCACCTTAAATTGGATTATTCCAATGAAGGGAAAAGAGAAAAGTCATTGACAGCCTCCAATTCTTCGTTCACACATAATTCATACGTTTCAAGGGAAACAGAAAAGTCTTCTGGTGCTCTTCTTGTTAAATTGGAAACAGCGTCTTGCGTATCCTGTTCTAATCCAGACTGCGAATGAGACCTTCGAAGGTCTTCGAGCCTATCTAATCGATCTTCCAAATCATCAGTGACCTCCAGAAGTTCTGAGCGATTTTCTAATGACACATCTTCAGTGTTTTGCTCTATCTCGTCAGAAACAGGAGTACCTTCATGCATTGCTGGTTCAGACGTAGGAACATTTCCGTCTACAATGCCATCTGGTTTGGAAGGTGAACGTGTCGCCATGTCGGAAGGAACACTCTCGTTGGAAAGTTTCGTACCGTTCACCTTTGATGACTCTGAATTTGTTGATTGGTCTAGGGCAGGTTTCGTTGAAGGAATGAAGCGTATTGGATTTCCAGGGAGTAGCTCGGGTAGGACAAAACGGTCTAAAGAAGGGAGTTCATCAAAATCATTCCAATTCACTGGAAAACCATCATCATAAATAATATTGGGAATTTTTAAAGGTGGATTATAGTAAGACGGACTCCGCCGGCCAGCGGCAGAGGATGAAGTTAAAATACATTCATAAGGAACCTCTATCGTGTCAGAGCTACCACACTCGAGTAAAAGCATGCGCTCACTTGCACGGTCTTCAAGAATACGACCCCAAAAAACATCACCTCGAGCAAATTGAGCAGGTACTGGAAGCCCTAGGATCGGGGGTGGGAATAACGGATGATTAGAAGCATGAAGGTACACTGACTCAAATTGGGAAAACTCAACATTAGAATTGGTCATCTCCTGAGATTTTTTAATAAACTCGGAACGGAACTTAGAATTCCATAAGGTAAATAAAGGCAAGGATGTAGAATTGGTGTCATTGTCAGTAACGGGGGACGGGGACGAAGACGAGGACGAGATGGAATTAATTGCTGTGGAATCAAGTTTTCTATCGTTATGAATAGTTTCACGCACTCCATTCCATTTTGGGGTTTTATTAGACTGTAAATCATCTTGTTTAAAAGGGTTATATAAGGGTAACGAGCCTTTTTCAGTCGTTTCTTGAGGGTCAGCGTGAGAAACGTCTTGACAAGACGCTTTCTTGGGTTTATGTACGTGTGGCCAGTTACTTTTAGAAGAAAAAGCCGACTCCACAATTCCAAGTGACCATATATCTTCATAAGAAGTAAGAGAATCATGAGCATAGAACACAAATCGCCGTAAAGCAGTATCACCAAGACAGAAAGCACTATGGTAAGAGCCAGGATAAGTAATTAGCATTTCATTTGGACGAAGCACAATTGAAGAGATATTAATCCCGCTTTGGGCAAGGGTAGAGGGAGGAAAAAGAATGTTTTGATGCAATAAAAAATCCGCACATCGCCAATGCTCATCAGGTGCAAGTTTTTCTGCAAGTTTCTGAAACGCTGCGGCTTGAGAAGATGGAATCAAATACCACTGAAGAGGCGCACCACCTAAATGAACATGAACGGCATATAATTTTTTTGATTCAATCCGCCAAGGTAACGTTGTTTTCCATTTCCCAGCAAAAGTTCTACCAGAGGTCGGCCATGTATTTTCAGGAACACTCGACCGTAAATGAACTCTACTTTCTAAAGAACGGCGAGAAGGAATGCCAAAAATCATAGGGTCATTATGATGAGAATAACCGTACCATAGATTATCGTGTGTTAAAGATCGCCAATAATAAGCAATAGCCTTAGATATGTTGTTTTCAATCTTTGGTGGCTCTAAAATAGTAGACGGAGATTTGGAATTAGACTGTGTGCTTGTATCTGATACAAGTTCAATTTCAAAGTACTCTCCTTTTCGACGAACGCTTCTTTCAACCCAAACGTCTATTTTTTTATCTGTAGAAATCCCATCGGAAGATTCTTCCCAAGGTTTTGAAACGGATTCTGGTTTTAACACTTTAATCGCTCCATAACGCTCTCCTAGATCGCGAACCTCTTGAAAAAATGCCCCCATATCCGAAAATTCTTCCGCAGTCTATGATTTTTTCTCGTTAGCAAATTAAACGATGCCTTCTTTATAAAAAGTTTTCATATACATACCGGCTTAACGATTGGGATTCCATCAGCGCCCTCGACAACATATTCGAATTTGCACGAAACGCGTTCTCCAGCTTGATCACTTGTCTCGATCGGTTTGCTTTTATCATTCTCTTGCATAACAATCCGAAATTAACCGACTGATCGCAAGTTCTATTTTCCTCTTACATCCACTAAATGGTGGCTTTTGTTGAAATTTCCTTTGCTTACTACCAACTATGTCATGGAACACAGTAAACCACGCAATCGACTTTTCTGAATCATACCAATGTGTTAATGCTATTAACGAGCCTCGCAAAAGCGCATAAGTCAACAAAAGGTATGCAAAAAAGAGAAGAAAGGGAAACGGTTTGTTCCGAAGTTATGAAGAGTTGAGCTCTTATTTGATGAAAGCGTCTTTGCTGTGGTCTATGACAAGAACTTGTTTGTTATCGAACTGCATCGCTCCTGGTGAACAAGCTTCAGTCTTGGCATAACATTCATTGTACATTCTCTTTCATTTTATAAGTTATTAGTAAAGAAATGATTTCTTTAAATAATGATAAACTTCAATTTCTGCGTTGATGGAAGGACTTTGTCTTGCCTGGGATTTCTGCTCAACATCTGCAATCAACTACCATCCTTGGCAGAACTTTGTAAAACACTCGCTTCCTTAATTTTGGCGACGAATCTCAATAACTTGAGCTGTTTTTTTTTTTGCTAATTTCACCTAATTAAAAACTCTTGTTTTACCAGAGGACCTTTTTCTTTTTTCCTCAATAAGTCATCCCAAATTTCATGTTGTAATTTTGCGTAAAGCTGCTACCTACAACACTGATTCGGGTCCTTGGTGAATAATTTCTCAGTTCATTTGTGTTCAAAAAGGTTTTTCGAATATTTCTAATCACCTTTCTTTAAGATGTCCTTCCTTTCCAGGTTTGCTTGGCGCGCTTGGAAGCCACAATTCATTCCTATGCTTGGAGCTATGAGATTCCATTGGAATCGTAATCTACCAATGAACCACGTCCATATGCTATCTTCTTCCCCTTTTGCATCTCTTAATTCTCGACTTCCTCTCATTCCTTCCCAAGGCTTCAAAACAAAGGCTTCAGTTAAAAAACGTTGTTCCAGCTGTTATTTAGTGCGCAGAAAAGGCCGCTTATATATCCTTTGCAAAAAGCATCCCAGACATAAAACTAGACAAGGATAAACTTATTGGGAATCATTTACGTTTGGGTTACCCTCCGTTTCCTACGAAACATATTCGCAAAGCTAAGCCTTAAATCGATAATTTCTTTAACTTTCTTATTTTTTTTTAGGATTTATATTACTTCTGCATACCCTCCATGTTCTTCAGATAGTGATAGTTATTAACTATATTCCTCATTATCATTTTTCGTATCAACTACAACTATAAATAATGATTCTATTCTTTAATTTGCATATAATTTTCTCGTTATAATTTACTCATTAGAATTGAGCTCAGCCGTAAATCTTTCGCCGAGTTTTTCATTCTCCTCTATCACACCCTGATTCTTCTTAATCCGAGCTAAAAGGTAACGAGCTCTTTCTTTCATGCCAGATTCGAAGTTACCAAGGCCCTTCAATAGCTGCAATTCTTCTTCATCAGTCCGAATAGCTGAGTTGCAAAGGCGAATAATGGCATTGCATCTAGCTTGACTCATAGCTGCTCGTAAGATAGAGTCATTTACTAGCTGTTGAAACGCCGTAACATACACGGGCTTACCGGCAAATACCTTGTCAGGTCTGGCATTCACACTTGTGATCGTAATTAATTCATCTTCTTCCAAAGCACGAACTGCATCATCATGACCCTTCAATAAAGGATCAAGCATCAATTTATGATAAGGAATGTGTTCGTGCTGCGACAATAAAGTTATTAAAATCCACGCTTGTTCCGAAGTATATAGCGGTTTCTTATCGTCACCGAAAGATAATGAATTAGATCTTAAGAAACTCTGAAGAATGTCTGAAGTGTTTTGACTAATGATTCCACCAATCGCATCAGACACGCTTGAATTGTTCACCCTCAAGCGTCTAGCAACATAATCTAGGTCACGAAGTCGACCACCAATTTTAGGTAGTTGTTTCTTAAGCTCTTTCTCAAGCCTTTCTGTTCGTATTTCTTTCGGTATTGAATCCAAAACATAACGTTGAGCAAGTAAGGGATCAGCATCGCCTAACAGTAAAGTACGGTTTTCCCACCCGCCAACATACTGCTCTAAAGTTTTAGTACCTCCTACATCTGGTGTCAACATTAGAACATGCACAACTCCCTCTTTGACTAAATTTCCAGCCCATTCAGCAACCATGTGTTGCATCGGGTTGTTTAACTTTCGTAGTTGAAAGTTATCAAGGACAACTACCGGCAATTTATCTGCATGAACCTCTAAGTATTCTGATTCATCAAGAACATTACTATGTTCGGAATCTTTATGTTCGTCTAAAGCCAACTTACGAAGCACGGTTTGCGTAGTGCTGAGGATCTGTCGAACCTGACCTTCTGCTGACGAAACAATTCCTGTTTTTTGGCCGATAAGACCCTGAGCTGCCATATCAATCATAGAAGATAAATTATTCAAGAAACTAAATAACGGAAAATATCCTGTCTGACTTGCCAAGGAACTCACAAACATTCCCTCATTCGCACCGGAAAATAATCTATCGCAATCAAATACTAAAACATGTTTTCGATTTCCAACCGCTCGATCTACGAGGTCACGCTTACCACTTCCTCGAGGACCTTGGACCACGATGAACGAATGCAGTGCCTCGTCTAGCCACTCTTCTAGCTTCTGACAATCCTTTTCTCTTGTAGTCCATATAGGAGTTATTTCTAAATCGGAATCTTGGAAGGGTTTAAAAACGATGTCACGGGTTTTTTTTATCCAACTGAAAAGTTTTATGTTACGAAGTGTTTGTCCATGTACAATATTTGTCTCAACAAAAAATCTCCGCATTGGGTCGAATAAGGAAGCAGTAATGACTGTTATCAAAGCAGCAATTAATGGAATTGCAAATCGCGGGTGAGAAACCAACCAGTCTTTTATGGATAAAAATCGATTGGTGTGTCGGTATCGCATATGAAACTTCGTATCGTTCATTCGGAACCCATGCATACAATTTAAAGCTGAAGTAGCGGCTCTCAACGAGGTAAACTTCAGGATAGCACCCTCTGGAGATACAACTTCCACAGAACGCAATTTTCCGTATTTTCGGAAAATACTGTAAAGCTTTTCCTGTGATAAGCTGGGACCCTCAAAGTTCAGTTCGATTGTTCGAGCAGGAAAGGCGTACAAATCCTGTAACCAAGGTCGTCCATAAACAATATGTGGAGTAGGTCTAGAGAAAGGATGTAAGAGCGATGTGACAGGGCGTTCTTTAAATGCATCACGAATTATAGCATACATTTTTTCGGTATCCTCATCAGTCTCTGCATAACGAACCTTTAAGAAAGCACCTCCATCTTGCCAGCGAAAAATAACGTCTTCTAGATGAAAAGAGGGCGAAGACGGAAATGCACGTTGAATTTGGTTACGTAGATTCTTCTGGAATAAAAATGCAGCATATCGTTGAATATTAAGAAACGTGGGAGTGTTTACTAAGTTATCCAAAAAGATGAGGCTTTCGTTTTTACCTAAAGGGATATGGCCAATGTCATGGGCAATGGAAGAGTGTGCGGCTTTACGAAAAAGAAAAGGTGATACAACTGTCCGAAAGCGATTCCCATTTTTTAAGAAGGAAGAGAAGAGCAATCTCATACTTGAATCTCCAAATGCGTACTAAACATGCCAGTGTATAAACTCTCTAAAAATAAGTAAAGAAATTAAATAAATAATTTCAAAATTAAATATCTCTGAAGAAAACCCGTCAACTTGGAATTTTACAAGATGCAAAGCAAAATCGAGATGATGTATGCCCAAAACATCGTGCCTTTAAGAATGGAGTTTCGCGGTAGATTGCGCTGCATTTCGGTAAATCCAAACCATTCAAGATTTGCAAATAAAAGGATAAAAAAAGAAAAAGAAAAAAGGAAATGAAGCTTAAATATAGGACCTTTGTCTCCGCAGTTGCAACCTTGAAGCGTACGAAAGGGCTCATTTGTCGAAGCATACCAAACCATTGTCAAGCATATTTGTTCGTAGCCGTATCGTTCATAGACATTGTTCTTCATGAACATTTTAGGAAGCATCATATAGACACCAAGAAAGGATTCTGAGTGATTCTATCCTTGGAAATCAAATTCACTCATATCTTCGTAAAATTCAGAGGCATCCCCATTTGTGATGTCTGCATCTAAATCCACATCTTGCGTTTCTTGCTCATTTGGCTGAGGAAAGTCATCGCTCCTCAGCTCTTCCTCGTCAATCTCTGTGTCCATGTTGCCTGTTTCAGCCTCTCGCTCTCCGAGTTCTGCTTGTTCCTGCATTGTTTTATTAATCCCTATAGGCCGTATCCATTGAAAGCCATGTTGCTTAATTGAAAGTTCCTTTTATATCTAGTCAGCGCCAAGCGTCATAAAGAATCGTAACATGTAAACAAACCTACAAACAGACATACCTGGTTTTCAAGCTCCAATTCATCTTTTTCTAGTTCTTTCATGGACATTTCAAAAGGACTATACCACAATTCATGAGCAGTAGAAGCCATTAAAGACATAAACGACATTGTTTACTTTGCTGGCTGCAGTTGTATTTGTGTTCTGAGTATACCATGGCAAGGACATATGTTTGTTGCTCGGGCAACGCCATCAAAGGAGACATGGCATGTAAATAGCGAAATGTAAACAAGAAATGTAAACAGAAGCGACTTTTCCAACGAGTTATATGACTGATCTCAAGGAAAACGTACACATAATTGAATCCAATTCTACATGATCCTGTTTTCGTTGAACACCGTTGAACGAAAAGCTACGCTATATCACTTGGTCAGCAAGGCTTTTACTAGAACAAATGAATAAAAACGTTACTAAGCTTTCTTCATCAATATAACACTTAGCGCAAAACATTATTATTTCTAATTAAAAAATACCAAAGTGTTTAGCCGAGTTTTACTTCTGCAGCGGTTTTTTCTTTTATACACTAATTGTATTTGTTTACTTCTATATCGAATTTGTATAACGATGTTTCCTTGTGAGTTCTTATTATTGTGCTGTTCATGTTTACCGAATTTTCATTTCTCTTGAGTATGCTTCTTTACGAAGTGTACTGCGCAACCCAAAGCTTAACCTAACCTAATACTCGGAAGCAGTCACACTGGAATGTCAAACAAGTGAAACATACATGGCCCAGGATAGAATCTGTCAACAGCACAATGACCAAGCGTACTAAAAAGGTCGGTGTCACTGGCAAGTACGGTGTTCGCTACGGTGCATCTTTGCGTCGTGATGTCCGTAAGATCGAAGTTCAACAACATGCTCGCTATCAATGCCCTTTCTGCGGACGCAACACTGTAAGACGCAGTGCTGCTGGTATGTAAAACTGGTGATGGCTGTAGAATTTGGATTTCTTTTGTTCAGATTTTCTGCCATGGCTTAGATATCTATTCAACATTTAAGGTAGTGAAGACTAACGCAAATTTTAGGCATCTGGAACTGCAACGCCAAGGGCTGTGGTAAGGCTATGGCCGGTGGTGCTTGGACTGTTACTACTCCTGCTGCTACTAGCGCCCGCTCTACCATTCGCAGATTGCGTGAAATGGTTGAAGTTTAAATGCCAAAAGTGTTTTATTGTTTTTATCTATTGTGAGCTAAGTAAAATATTTATCGCCTAGAAGATGGTTAGTAGGTGAAATGAAACATCGTAACGTATATACTTAAGCTTTAGTAGATACAAAAGTAGCTCAAGCTTACAAACATACCTCATTTGCATCGTAATTAACAGCGGTCAAAGCAATAAGGCTTTTATCTTTGGGAAAGCCCATCGATAGTAGCTCTTGTAGTATTTCAGACTTTCTCTCGTCGTGAACTTCATCGCTAGCTGTTTGTTGAGTCCGTCCACTGTGGCTTTCAACAACTTGAGAAGGCGTATGACTCACAGACGACCTCGAGGAACTTTTAGGAAGGGGATGAGAAGTAAAGGATGATTGACCTCTTTCGGTACGAACCTCTTCAGGACGTAAAACTGGAGAATTAATCCCGCTTGTAGCATTCAAGCTTGCTGAATCTGCAAGAACGTCGTCTATTCTTCTTCTTAGATGTTGAAGTTCCTTGATAACCTGTCTCTTATCCATAGTAAGTTCTCCAACTTGAGCACTAAGCTGTTGATTCGCCATTAAGTTTCGAGAAATTGATTGTTGGGTGGCTTCTTTCAGTTGAGATATATCATTCAATTCATTACGAAGACGCTCAACATGACTTTTTTGCTGTTGAACACTAGATTCAATTCTTTCATAGCTTTGCTGAACTGTTTCCAAAGTGAACTTGGAAGAACTGATTTGCTGCTGCAAATTTTCAATTTCTGCAGGGTCAACTGTAGCTTCATCAGGTTTCTCTTTTACAGTTGGTTCTTCCGGCTTAGCCATAGGCATGGATGGTAAATTCATAGACTCTTCACTTTCTTGGTGCGGCATAGACGGAGAAGAGGGTTGATTTTCACGTTGAAGTTCTTGTACCCAATTTGCATGGGGTGGTTGAAAGTTTCCTTTTTCAGAGTCGTTATCCAATACTTCTTTCGTAGGCTCATTTATCAAGCTCTTATCTCCACCGGGAACTAAGTTTTCAATTGTTTGCTCAAGAGTCGGTTGAGGAGCCATGTTTTCCAACTCATTTATTTGATTATTATTTGAGCGAAAAGACTCGGTAGGTTCACGAGTGATGTTGGAAAAGTGTTCTTCTTCATCTGTAGGAACGTTAGTATTTTCAATTGGCTCAGAAGAAATTGGGGGATAATCGGGAAGTTGACTAGAGTCAGAAGCTTTCTCTTTGCTTGAAAGTGCACTCTGTTCCATAGAACTTGATGAGATTATGCTGTCCAGAGGCTGACCCGAAAGTCTTAGTTTTATGATTTGCATAGCGACAACAAATTCATTTTTCATAATAAATCCTTTATCGTCTTTGTCAGCAAGTTCCCAGATTCTGGCTAGTTCATCGGGATCAAGTCGAGATGCCATAAAAAAAGGCACAGCCTCTTCTCCAGTAATAAATCCTTTATTTTCTGAATCAATTTTCTTAAAAAGTACGCAAAAATTTTCACGATCTTCTGGGTGTATAGATTTACTAACAAAATCTAATGAAAGAGATTTAGCTTCTGCGCTGGAAGAAATAGAAGGAATACTTGAAGAATTTCTACCGTGCTTTGTTTCCTGATTCGATGAGAAGACAGCATTACTTTGATTGGAAGGTTCCAGTTTAGTGGAGGAATTGGCATCGCTCTTCGCCGAGTCAATTACATAAGAAGGAAGCGACCGAGGTAAATGAACAAGGTTATACTTTTTGCAAAGCATAATCAGATGCTTAGCAATAATAAATTGCTCGACTCTAAGATAACCAACGTGCCCGGAATCTGCTAGATTCCAAATCTGAGCCAACACACTAGTAGAAAGTCCAGATTCAAGAAAAAGCGGTTTAGCAATAGAACTAGGCATAAGGGTTGGGTCTTCTAAATCTTCAATCTTATCCATTTGATTATAGAACTCTTTTTCAAATTCGGATCGTAGATGCGGGTCCACGGTTTGGCGGAATGGGCTAAGGTCCGTTGTGTCTGAAGTTTGAAGGTTTGATACCTCAGTCCCATCAGCAAATGAAGGAGGAGTTCCAGCTTTTTCGAAGGTTAGCAATTCATTTTAAAATAGCTTCTTACCTTTTGATACGTCCAATTCCTGCAAAGGTACACCCTTTTGAGCCTGCGCTACGTAGCGAAGGCAAGCGTAAGCTTGGGTTCGAGTGAAGTAGCCTTTATCTTCTTCATCGCAAAAGTCCCAGATCTAGAAAAGTATGTTAGTTTAGGGCATCTTATTCTTGGTCATCATTCATCTGTACATACTTTGGCTAATGTTTTTTGTGGAAGGCCAAATTTTAAGAGGAAAGGGCTGACAATTGATCCTGGAAAGCAATTGGGGTCCTCTACTGGTAAAGTCTGAAGCATATCATCAAATGCTTCTTGCTCTGTGAGCGTCAGCTGTATAGGAGGTACCATGATTTAAGTACACAATACGGGAAAAGAAAAAAAAGAAAGATTTTTTTAAAGAAGAATTCGTAATAAGTTGCGAAAAAGTGTATGATATTTAACACGAGGGAAACGTTGGACAACTTTGGTTTGTTTACTAAGATATTCCTTCAAAAGGCTGAAATATAGATCAGCTAAATCGTAATTGTAAGAAGCAATTCTTGAATAATAGAAACCGGGCTACAAAAGACGTAAATTGAAATCAACTATAAGGAATTTCTTTGATTGAAGAGTTTCGGCGCCAAGTCAAAACACAATGTAAAATCTTTCGTGTAATAAGCAAGAAAAAAGAATAAAATCCCAAAACCTTACACTTTTTTTCAATGATTTAAACAACTTCAACTGCGTAGTGGTTAGAACCTATGCATACGTCAAGAATACAAGACTCCGTCAAGTCGTAAGGTATGAGAAGCGAAGATGAGGGATCCTAAAAGAATTTATAAATAAAAGTAAAGAGGTAATAAATTAATACAATGCAAGTGTTCTAAATAGTAAAATAAAGTCGTTCAAGAAGGACTGTAATTAAGACTTCATGAGAAACACTGATACGAAGAAACCAGGACTCTTGTCGTTGGTATGAACAGGTAGCAGAGTCCTTTTTGTCTTCGTTCATCTTGACTTATTTCTTTTTGTGGAATCTTTGAGGTCTTTACATTGCTTTCAAAGCTGGAATGCGAAACTTGTAGGAACAGAAGCTATTCCATGATATTCATCACTTACTAAAGATATAATTATTTTTAGTATAATGATTTATCTTGTATCACCTTTCCAATTGAGAAACGCTATTCGAAGGAAAAGAAGTAGAAATGTGCTGCTTTCCAAAAGTCATGTCCTTTCAAGCTTTTAAATAAAATGAAGGATACAATTCCTCTTACAATAGGTTTAGGAAAGATATGTTGCTGTCTTAATGGACTTTTTATAAATTCGTTGGAATTCCCAACTGGCACTCATTTTCACTACCGCGTCTCTCTCTTTTATAGACCGAGTCTTCAAAGTATTGATTTTATAGCTCAACAATAATGCGTCGTAGTGGAAATAAAGAGTCTACTGTTGTATGTAGACTTCTTGTAGCTAAGGAAGAACTTGTGCATTAACTATTTGACTAGGTTTACTCTGCTCTTTCTTTGGCACAATCAGGACGTGGTTCTGAAGCTATTGCTCTGTTAGAACCATTAAAGACGACTGTTATTAGTAGCCTGAATTTGATTGATATTATACAGGCTGTGTATGAGGATCAAAAACGAGGTTTGTTGAATATTCGAAAAGAGGTACTTCTTGGTATCAATATGCTATGATCTTTTGCAACGAAGACAATTCTGATTCTTAAGATATTTTTTCAGAGATCATGCTAAACTAGCGAAAAGAAAGGACTTGCCTTGTTGTTTTAATTGAAAGCAGAAAACTCGAGAAATACCTCTAGAAGGAAATACCTGAAAGTTATTCTTGCTAACAAAAAGCATTACAGGCGAGGAATCATTTCAATTTTGGGAAAAATTTTTGCAAGCTCACGGTAAAAATGAAAAGCACCTATCAGCTTATTTTAAAGCCGCAGTGAGAACGAAGAGTCTTATTCATCAGAGAAAGGTAGGGTCTCATTTATTTACTTGCTACAAGACACTAATAAATTATTATAAGGCCGCTGTGGAATTACAGAAACTCTTTCCTTCGCGTAAGCACACTCTATGGGTCCTTTCATCTCTGTATTTGTTATGCAAACGCTCAGAAAATGAGATGGAGCAGCGTTTGTTAAAAGCACTTGCCGAAAAAACAGCAAGCATTACTTTCTCCGCACCTTCCGGACACATTGATTCTTGTGAAGAATGTCATCTTTATTTGGACATACTTTCATTGGTCGGGAAAAAAAGCGATGCTGTTGAACTACTCTTGAACGAAGAAACCCAAAAATTTGTAGAAGCTGATGCCGACTTGCTTCTTCGAAAGCTCCAGCTTCTTGCCGACTGCGAAAGCTGGGACACCTTATTCTCCGTTGCTTCCACATATTT